GTGCCAGTAGTTAGCTGCAGGTAGCAGGGCAAGAATCTTCGCCTGCTTTGGGACCAGCCAGGTTGGCCCTGGCTTTCAGAAGTACTGTCTGAGCCTTCACTGTCACTGGTGAAGGTGGTACACCTGGGAGTGGTGCTGAGGAGCCCTCTGCCATGGATAGGGTGGAAAACGGCCCCATCCCACCACGTATTTGCTGCCTTGCCTTGCAGCTCCACTGAGGCCAGTGACGTTGGTGGCCTTCACATCCTTCTAGCTCTCAGTTACATCATATTCCACAGTTTCCCACTGTGGGCAAGTACTTCCTGGGGTTGTTCTTTTTAATGGCATTCTGGTGGACATCTTCCTTTCTGTCTCTTCTATTGATGAACTTGTATCGGTGTTTCGTACTGACCCATTTTGCGGTGCTCAGAACCTGCTTGGTTGCAATGATCTTCTTGTCCCTGTTGGCCTGGGCCAGCCCTTTGAGGCCGGTGCCCAGGGTGGAGGGCTTGGGTTTGGTGGGCAATTTCTGGGTCTCAGCCTCATTGTGCATGATGGCAGAGAGGGTGATCTTTTGCTTAGCTGCTGCTGCTGCTATGATCTTATTTTCCTCTTTTAGTTGATGGATATCCATTTGCAAAGTTGACATTCTCTCTTCTAATATTCTCAGGAATTGCTTCAAAGTTCTGTTCTCTTTCTTTTCAAGCTGGTCCTGTACAGCACATAACTGATTATTTTTAGCTTTAAGGAGAATCTGTTTTCCTTTCACCACCTTCTGTAAAAACATCTTGTTTCTTCTTGAGTTCCTTGATTTCTGAAAATTTTTGGTGGTGGTCTGTTTCAAATTTTGTACTCTCAGACTTTTAATGAGATAGTCTCTGATTCTCTTCTTGGAGGAGCCTAATTGTATCATTTGTCACCAGTGTTGTTTTAGCCCTTCAGTCTCTTCTTGGAGGAATTTAGAAAGCTCATTTTAGGTAACAGTTTCCTTACCTCTGGAAAGCCTTCTGCAATTGATTTCATATTGCAAAACACTAGTAAAACTTTATCGCTTCTCAGCCTTTTGGCTAAGATCAAGTGTGGAAAACACTAGTAAAACTTTGAGCTGCCTTAATCATCTTGTTTCATAGAAGAAAACTGCCCAAGTTTCCAGGATTTGGACAAGTTTCCTCCTGAACTTTCTGGTTCTGTTCTTGTCTTTGTCATTTTGGGCCATGTCAGCTTCATCTGCCTCTTGGGTAGCATTGTCTCTGTCAAGTATGAACTGGGTAAAAATATGTCCGAATTCATTTAGAAGCTACGTTGAGATTTCTCTTGGCTTTCCTCACAGTCTTTTTTTTCATTGTTTTTCTTCGTAAGTTGGTTCTTCAGAGAATATAGCTGATTATTTTTGTCTTTAAAGAAAATATCTTTCCCTTTAACCAACTTGTGTAAAACATTATCTTTCTTTAGTTCTTTGATTTCGGAAGACATTAGGTGGAACTTCATCCAGGTCTCCCACATGGGAGGAGCAGCAGGACAAACTCTTAGGCCATAGTTTGCTACTTTCCTAGGCATATTAGCTGGAAACTGGTGCTCCTGGGATGCTGAGTAGGATTCATTCCAATAAGTAGATGTACCCTGATTTCTTTATCCATTCCTCTAATGATGAGCATCTGGGTTGAGCCCATGTCTTTGCTATTTTGAATTGTACTGCTCCAAATGTAGCATTGTAGGTCACACTTGAATGCAGATTTCATTTTCTTTAGATATTTTCCCAGGAGTGAGATGCCTGGGTCATATAGCAGATCAGTTCTCAGTTGTCTGAGCACTCTCCATCCTCATTTCCAAAATGGTTGTACTAGTTTACATTCCCAGAAACAGTGCATCAGGTTACCTTTTGCTCTACATCTTGACCAACAATTGTTGTTTGCTGATTTCTGGATGTGGGCCATTCTCCCTGAAGTTAAGTGGAACTACATTGTATTTTTAATTTGCATTTCCCTGATAGCTAAGGAACCTGAGCATTTTTTCATATGGCTATTAGCCTTTTGAATTTCATCTTTTGAGAAATATCTGCTCATGTCCTTTGCCCATTTCTTAACAGGGTTCTTTGTTTTGCTATTACTGAGTTTCTGGAGCTCTTTATAAATCTTGGATAGTCTCCTTCCTATCTGTCACAGAGTGCAAAGATTTTCTCCCATTCTGTTGGTTGTCTCTTCACTTTATTGACCATTCTCCTTGCTGTATAGAAGCCTCTAAGTTTGATGTAGTGCCATTTGTTTATTTTGGCTTTAACTGCCTGTGCTTTTGGTGTCTTTTCTAAGAACTCTTTGCCTACCCCTATTCCTTACAGGGTGTTCCCTGTGTTTTTCTTTAGTACTTTGATGGTGTCTGGGCATAGTTTAGATCCTTGATCCATTTAGAGCTGATTTTTGTATAAGATGAAAGGTAGGTGTCTTATGTTTTAATTCTGCAAGCTGGTATATAGTTTTTCCAGCAGCATTTGTTGAAGAGACTATCTTTTCTCTCTGGGTTGTTTTCAGTTCTCATGTCAAAGATTAGCTGACTACTCAAAAGCCTTTAAATAAATCAGTTTAGCTATTTATATAATGATACTTATTGAAATCTTACTATGTGTGAGAAACTGGGAGTACAGTGGCTAAGAAAACCAAATCTATGTCCTCAATGAGTTTACACTTAAGTGGGGAAAATAAATAACCAATATAGCATGTAATGACAAGACGTAACAAACGATCTGGAGAATAAGGAGGTTAGAGGGATAAAGCTATTTTGGTCAGGGCAGTTCTGAGGAGGGGACATTTGAGCACAGACCTTAGTGAAATGAGAGGTTGAACACAAAAACAACAGGTGTGAAGGCCCTCACTTCATGCATGTGCTTGGTATGTTTGAGAAGAGGCAGAGCCCAGTGAGGCTTGGAACACAGCTGCAGAGATCAGAGTTCAAAGGACTCTGTAGCCTAGAGTAAGAACTTTGGATTCTGTTCTTAGTTTGACAGGAAGCCATTTGAGAATGACATGGTCTAATAGGCCTACTCTGGCTATGGAGAATGAACTGTTGAGAGCAGGCTTATGCAATGAAAGAGAAAATCAAAGTTCCATGGTCAAGAGTGGTAGTAGTAAAAGCAGTTCAAAGTGATGCGAGTCAGGTATATTTTGAAGGTAGTTACTCTGACAGAATCCGTAGATGGACTGGCTATATTGTATGGGACAAGGGAAAGCATCAAGGGCAACTCCTGAGTGCTGGGATGGAGTAATTGACAGGGCCATTGTTAAGGTGGAAAGCACCAGGTGAAAGGGCAAGTTTGAGAGGGATAAGGTCTTGTTTGAATGTCAGGTGTTATTAAACATAGAAGTATGGGTGTCAAGTAGGCAGCTGGACGTGAGTGTAGAGTTAGTGGTGAAGGAAGGGTTTTGTAACTGATCTTAGAAATTTGAAACTCCCCAGTGTGCAGGATGCATATCGTTAATAAAAAGTAAAGGGAAGAAGAAATCAGATTTAATGATCAGGAAAAGAATGAGGATGTCGCAAGGAGAAGAAAAAGGAATGACTGGAGCTTTGGTGGAAAGAAGACAGGAAATTGATGCCTCAAAGCTAAAAAAATGAGTACCAAAATCTGCAGAGAGTTTGAATAAAATGAAGATTAGGAGTTGCCTATTAGATTTCATGGAAATTGTGAAGGCATTATTTTAAGGGGGCTAGAGATTAAAAGTCTGATATGGGATGTTTTCAGGAGAAAATGAGAAGTAAGGAAATGAATATAGAGAATTACATCTCTTCAAAAGTTTTGACATAAAGGGGTTCAGAAAATCGGACAGTAACTGAGTCAGATTGTGGAATCAAAAGAAAGGTATGGTCATAAGTACCTGTTTTTAAATTTGTAATTACTGGCCAAAGTTTAGACTTACAATAAAAACCAAGTTGTTGCAGCTTAATTTTTCCTTATTACTGTTGTTGCAACAGGAAATTGTCAAATTTTATTTCTTTCATTTCTGAAGAAGTGGGAAATGACTCTGATAAAATACGAACAAAGTAGCCAATTGAAAATAGCCTTCAGGGGTGAACATTTGGTGCAGTAGTTAAGATGCTGTTTCAGATGCCTGCACTCCGTATCAGAGTACCTGGGTTCAAGTCCTTCTGTGTCCAATTCCAGCTTTCTGCTAATGCACACTCTGGAAGACAGCAATCTCTGCTACCAACGTGAGAAACCCAGGTTGTGTTCCTGTCTCCTGGCATCAACCTGGCCCAGCCCCGACTGTTGTGGGCATTTGAGGAGTGAACCAAACAGTAACTGAAAGGTTTCTCTGCCTTTCAAATATTTTAATCAAATCCTTAATAAATAAGCAAATATCAGAGAGAACTTCATTTCTTTTTTAACTTTATAGAGAGAAGACATTTTATGCATTCCATAGGTACAGTTCCAAGAAGCTAGTCACATTTCCCTTGCGCCCCTGTTTCCTCCATGTCTATACCTCACCCTCTTCCCCTTCCTGTCTTCAGTGGTACCTGCAGAGTCTTCGTTCTGATCCACTCTATACTCACAAGCTTACCTTGCCTCTAATTATAATATTCAAGAAATAAAAAGTAAAAAGAAAAGAGAGAGAGATCACAAGGCCACATGTCCACTAGAATATAAACATGGGCTAAAGACATCAATCCTATCCTCTAGGGACCATTTCATTCCTGTACTTTTTATGTATTCTGTATTCCACGTGTCAGAGAAACATAACTTTTCTCTTTAGACTGGTTTATTTTATTAGGTATAGTGGTTTAAAGCTGTATCCATTTTGTTACAAGTGACAGGATTTTATTCTTTTTTATAGCCGAGTAGTATTCTGTAGTGCATGTATACAGTATTTTCTTTATCCAGTCATCTGTTGATGAACATCTGAGTTGACTTCATGTCTTAGCTATTGTGAATTGAGCTGCGACAAATGTGGTTCTACTGCATATTAGATAATCTATACTGAAGATATCATAGAAATTGTATTAAATGACATTTCTTTTTTATCTTAATGCAGTGGGGATCAGCAGTGTACTTGTGTTATAAAAAATCAGTGGCAAAGACAAACACTGTATCTTACAAAGCTGGTATGTATAACTTTTGATGTATTTTGTTGTATGGAGCTCAATAAGATTAAAGAAAACTCACCTATGATGTGCCGATGTCAGGGCTGGTTCTGCAACCGTAACCTCCTGATCTTCAGTTTTGAGTTCATCTGTTTGTTTTAGTTGCTTGATGGAAGATTGCTTTGAAAAGAATGGAGTTTTAAAATTTAGTTTTAAATTAGTAACTAAGTGTCAATTTCCGTAAATATTTAGGTCAGTAGGAAGTTTGAGAGATCCTTATTTTCTTTTAAATTAATGTTTCTTTGATATTTGTATTAAAATTAGTCACTTTGTAGTTCTTACATATTTTTATTTCATAACTGAGAAGTATTATAAACTAGTTTGCCGTAATTGAAATGTTTAATTTTCAGAGACCTCAAAATGTAAAAAATATTAATCTCATTTATACAAGAGAGAAGATTCAGCTTTTTAAAATATATATCTTAAAAATTAGTTTTTCTTCTAGTTTTGTACTTGCTGACTTTACTTTCTTAACTTTCGTACTTTCTAAGGGTACCTCATGACTTCAGGTAGCAGTATAGAAATAACTATAGATCCTCATGGATCAACTGGTTAGCATATATTTAGAAAACTTCAGAAATGCCTTGAACCTTAGTTTATCTACATCACTTCAATTTATAAATGAGAAAACCAGGGGGCCAGCACAGTGGTATAGCAAGCTAATCATCTACCTGTACCACCAGCACTCACATATGGGTGCTGGGTTCAAGCACCACCTGATTCACTTCCAATATAGCTACCTGCTTATGGCCTAGGAAAGCAATACAGGGTGGCTCAATTCTGGGCCTTTGCAGCTGGAGGGGAGTGGTCCTAGAAGAAACTCCTGGTTTCCAATTTCATTTCAGCTCAGCTTTGCTGTTGCAGCCACTTGGGGAGTGAGCCAGAGGATGGAAAATCTTTTTCTTTTTCTTCTCTGTCTCTCCTCTCTGTAAATCTGCCTTTCAAATAAAAATAAATAAATCTTTTTTAAAAATGAGAAAACTAAAGTCTGAGCAGTATGTAATTTGTTTGTAATCATAGATATTCGTATCAGAACCAAGCACTCTTATTTCTGGTTTTTGATGTTGCTATTGTGGCAATGTCTACTAATGATTTCCACTTTAATTTAAAGGTTTCCAAGCCAAGGAACTATTTTCTATTTCTGGTGCCACAAAATGAGGTGTAGGCCTTTTCTTGGCGTGTGTTTGATAGAAGATGCCTACACCATTCTTCAGAGTGGTCCACCTCTATCTTCATATATTCTAGGGTTACTTAGAATCTGAGTGTAAATTGCTTGTGTCCTGAAAGTATTGTAAACATCATGTAAATCTGTGATTCTTCCATTTATTTTTATGCATAATTTTCTTGTGTTTGTGCTAGAAAGTTCTGTAAGCATATATGCATGATCTCATATAAATACTTAATAATCATCGATTATATAAATGTCCCCTGAGGGAGGGTTATTGATTGCTAATAAAGTGAATGTATGCAAATATCCACATTGGAAATTCCAAAATTAATATGCTATAAGGAAATATGCCTACAAACTGAATTTTTAGAAGTGTAAGCATGTAGGGATGGCATTGTGGCATAGTTATAAATCTGTGGTTTGTGATGCCAGCATCCCATACAAGTACCAGTTCGAATCCCTGCTGATATGTCTGAGAAGCTCAAGAACTTTGGTTCCTGCATGAAAGACCCAGATGAAGCTCTAAGCTCCTGGCTTCTACCTAGCCCAGCCCCCGGCCGAATGGCCATCTAGGAAGTGAGCCAGTGGAGAGAAGATCTCTGCCTCTCACTCCCACTCTGTCAGTAACTCTACCTTTCAAACAAATATATAAACCTTAAAAAGAAACACAGAGAGATGTGTATGTTGTCTCTATAGGGTTATTTTTTTTTCCTTGTTGGCCTTAACCTAGCCTTTGTGGATGAAGTTTGATAGTTAATGTTAATAGTTTTAACATTGGGAGATTGAAGTCTATTGGAATCCAACTGAAACATTGAGAGTTATCTGATGAACATATATGTAATGTTTTGGCCTTCCAGATGTGCAAAACGAAAAAGTGTTTTGTCATCATTCAAATCATGTCTACCTAAACTCAAAAGATGATGACCTAATTGTTTCTGTTGTTTTTATAGGTCTGATTTGTAGGTATCCTCAAGAAGATTATGAGTCATTCTCATTACCAGAATCTGTTCCCCTATTTTGTTTACCAATGGGTGCAACTATTGAATGTTGGCCACCAAATAGCAAATACCCTCTCCCTGTGTTTTCTACATTTGTGTTAACTGGAGCCTCAGCTGAAAAGGTACTGTCTATTTTAACAAGTAGTGTCTGCAGGTTTCCTGTATATTGCAAAGTCTGATGTTTTATATAATACAAGGAACAGTAGAAAACAATACCTGATTAAATTGAATCCATTCAGCACTTGGTTTAAATATGTATAAAAGCATAGGAAAGGGCCCGGCGCGATGGCACAGTGGCTAAAGTCCTCGCCTTGCACACCCGGGACCCCATATGGGCGCCGGTTCTAATCCCGGCAGCACCACTTCCCATCCAGCTCCCTGCCTGTGGCCTGGAAAAGCAGTCGAGGACGGCCCAAAGCTTTGGGACCCTGCACCTGTGTGGGAGACCCGGAAGAAGTTCCTGGATCCTGGCTTCGGATCGGCATAGCATCGGCCGTTGTGGTCACTTGGGGAGTGAATCATCGGATGGAAGATCTTCCTCTCTGTCTCTCCTCTCTGTATATCCACCTTTCCAATAAAAATAAAATAAATCTTTAAAAAAAAAATAGGAAAAAAAGAATTTTCTGTCTGTTCCATCCCCTCAAATACTTTATTTTTCAGTATCATGAAAGATTTTTTGTCATCAAATAATGATCCTTCATTGGCTCATTTTATGTAACAAAACTTTTAAGGTAGAAACAAAAGAGACTAATATGTCATGCATATTATAAACTATTATATTTTGGAGGAACCTTAGAAATCACATAGTCCAACATCCTCATATAAGTAAACAGGGATTGAGAACACTTCTGTGAACTGCTCGAAGTTAGATTTTATGTTTTCTTACCGAAAATTCTGCAAACTTTCTAGTAAATAATTATTTTTAGCCATTTTCTTAAGAATAGTGATACAGTTGCTTTTATTTTAAAAACACAGTTTAATTAAACGACGTTTTTCAGTGACAAAGATGCATGAGATGGGTAACAATAAAGACATATACGACTGTCATATGTAGAAGAGCACATTACAAATAAGGAAGCAAGAGTGGTGTGTGATCCCCACTGCGTTCCTAGGCTTGGGACTGGTACATAGCAAACGTCCATTTGACTGATGATGTTTTTTCAATAAGTGAAACAATGTATATTTATTCCATTTATTACTTATTTTGCAGGTCTATGGTGCTGCTATTCAGTTTTACGAACCATATTCTGAGGAGAATCTCACAGAAAAACAGAGACTTCTTTTAGGTTTAGCATCATCAGCAGACGGAAAGTCTGATAGTTCCAGAACAATTCACACTAACAAATGCATCTGTCTTCTTTCTCACTGGCCTTTTTTTGATGCATTCAGGAAGTTTCTGACTTTTCTATACCGTTATTCCATATCTGGACCTCATGTTCTTCCAATTGAGAAGTAAGTTCGATGTCTTAGTTAAAAAATCTGCAGACATTTCCACTGTATTGGTAACTGAGCAAACTTGATTTAGAAAATAAATTCCTCAAGAATGACTTGAGCAAAAGGGTCTGATTATTTCAATTAGGTAATAGTTCTTCATTACATTTTGATAGTTTTGTTATTTTAAATAATTTTGTTTCTAAGAAAATTAAGTAAGTGTTTTATTTATCTTGAAGTGAATTATTTAATTTTTAAAAATTTTCTTGTGAAGTTTATCTAGAGATCTTTATCTGGAGAAATAATGGAACTTTTCCTACTAATTTTATATTTCTTTTTACATAAAATGTAGGTTTGTCATGAACCTTTTATGTAATATTTTTGAATCTTACTAATTTAAAGGAAAATTTTGATAATATCCTTTTTTAACTTTAATTTTAGTGATTTACTATAAGGTAGCTGAAATTGAATGTTTACTACAGTATGACATGTTACAAAAATAAGATGCAAATTTCTCCATTGTCTATTTGACTATTATTTGTCCATCATTTAAGCTCTTTTGTGTCCTTTGGCAGAATTTTTCTACTCTGAAATGCTTGGGATTTGTAAGAGCATCAGTACTCAATATTACATAGAATATTCCTTACCTTTTTCTACTCTCACGTTAGAATTCTAATCCAGTAGTTCTCCAGTTTTTTGGCCTGGGGACTACTTTTTAATCTTAAAAAAATGGAGACTCTGAAGAACTTTTATCTGTTGTGTCTCCCATCCAAGTACTAACCAGGCGCAACCCCACTTAGCTTCCGAGATCAGGTGTGTTCAGGGTGGTATGGCCATAGACTATCTGTTGTGTCTAACCATACTTACTATAATAGAAATAAAAACAAAAATTGTAATATTTATCAGTTGACAAATATAAACCTGCTACATTTTAAATATCTTTTTTGGAAAATAACTTTTTAAGCGTGACATGGTTTTTACATCTCTGCAAATCTCTAATGGCTGGCTTAATTGAACAGAGCTAGGTTCTCATATACAGTTCTCTATCCAGTCTATTGCACTAGTTGTTTTGATTGAAATATGTGGAGAAAATCTGGCCCACAGGTATGTACATGGAAAAATGAGGAATGTTTGAATGTCATTCCAGAAAATTGTAGGTATTCCTCTTTTTGACACTGCATCAATGCTTGACAAGTGAAGTTGTAGTATGAGATCTGAAAGCTTAGCTAGGAACTTTCTGTTTCATTAGTACCTATTGGTCTGTTTCATTTTACGAATGAAAATTCTACTCATGGGTGTGATTTTGTAGCACTGTGCATTGCTTGTTTAGAATCTTTTTTTTTTTTTTACTAAATTAAGCACATCTTCCACATGTAGGCAGACTTAATTGTCAATATTGATTAAGTCTTATTTGTTGATATTACCACTTTCTCATCAGAATTTTTTTTTCAAAATTTATTTTACTTTTATTTGAAAAAGTTACAGAGAGAAAGATCTCTCTGCTGGTTCACTCCCCAAATGGCTGCAGGGGCTGGAGCTGAGCCGATCCTTGAAGCCAAGAGCCAGGAGCTACTTCTGGGCCTTCTCTGGGTGCAGGGACCCAAAGACTTGAACCATTCTTGCTGCTTTCCCAAGCCATAAGCTGGATCAGAAGTTAGCAGTCAGGACATGGACCAGCGCCAGTTTGGGATGCCAGTGCTGAAGGCCGTGCTTAGCTTGCTATGCCATGACACCATTCTGAGACAAGTTTTTAAGTATTGGAAACTGTCAAACATAAGGTGGCAGAATCCCACTTTCACTGAGAATTTTGAATTTACTGGCAACAAATGCCTCCAGTTGTTTTCCATTAAGCAACATGCATGCTCTATTCATTTTTGCATAGAAAATATTGGCTGAATACCCAACACAAGTAACCATACTTTGTTAGTCATCTTTTAAGCAAAAGTGGCATTCTATGAAAAAAAGTAGTAACTAATTTGACTGCAATAGTGCTTTTCCTAAATCTTCTTTGTGTATGTTATTGATGTGCTTAATTAATGGTACTTTCTTACCAGCAGTGTTGTTTTGTGTGTGTATTGTTTTTGTTTTTAAGGAAAATTGAACTTTTTATGAGAATGTGTGATAGGAAGCAGCCATAGTATGGTTTGCTGTCACTGCCTTGCTTCTCTTCAGGATTTCAATAGTTTTACCCATAAAGCCTTTGCATCAAATTACAAATATCAACATAGTGCATAAAAGCAGATAGCATTTTAGTGTATAGCATGGAAGTGATCTTGGCCTTGCAGATCCTCCCTGAATGAACCTTGGAGTGCTTTAGCAGTTTGTGACTCACTTTGGTCAGTGTTCCAACCACTGTAGGTAGTTGAAGTGGGTGTGTGTCCTGTGACACTCAATCCCATTTTAACTTTTTGTTGGTTTTCTGGATTGTGAGCGCCTAATGGTAGAGATTGATGACTTCGTGCCTTTTTTCACATTCCTCATCATGCTTGAGACATTTACAAATAAAAATATTGTTGAATGTGAGCAGCTCTTTGTGAAGGGTTTTAATTAGACAAGTTATTTTGGTTGTCGTTTGTTCTCTTGTTTTCACAGCATTGGGGATTTTATACTTACATGTATACAACACTTTTATCTCAGCTTGGCTTTGTGATGACATGTTATCATCTGTAACCTGTGGCATTCACTGTAAAATCATTTGGATTTTCCTTTGTTTGTTTTTAAGGCATATTTCTCATTTTATGCATAAAGTTCCTTTTCCATCTCCTCAGAGACCACGGATTTTAGTTCAGGTAAGATTTTCTTAAATTGAGGATGCTGTGGATTATTGGTTGTGTCAAAATATCACACATAAGAATAACAGTTTTAAAAGGGAGAAAAATCTAGTGAAATCTAAGGAGAACCATGTGCTGTTTCAGGTAGAAGCCTGGAACCCTAACGTTTTATCGACTCTGTCAGATAGCTAAGAAAGGGCTGCAGAGTTAAAGTAGGCAGAAGTTAGTGTTTTGAACTCAAAGAATGAGACTTTTCTTCCTAAATTTGCTCCAAGTATTTAAAAGTTTATGCTTTTTGTGATCATTTATTAAGCTAAATATTTTGGCACAAATATAAGGAAAATATGTATATTTGCAAATATTGCAGGATGAATACCATATATTTTGACATGATGGGGAAGTCAAAAATAAATATAAACCATTTAACCCAATTCTTTCCCTCACTGATTATATCTTTCCTCTTACTGTCTTTATATTGGTTTTATATGTGCTCTTAATGTTATTTATTTACTTATTTAATGATTATTTTGAATTTTTTTAAAGATTAACTTTATTTGAAAAGCAGTCACGGGGGAGAAAGGGAAAGAGAGAGAGCCCACAACAAGTTCCATTCTCTGGTTCACTCTCCAAGTGGTTTTCTGGGTATGGGCCAGGCCAAAGACAGGAGCCAGGAGCTTCATCTGGGTCTGCCCTGTGTGTGCCAGGGCCTAAACACTTGGACCGTCTTCCATCCCTTTTCCCAGACCATTAGCAGGGAGCTGCAGAGGAAGTGGAGCAGCCAGGACTCACCAGGATACTGGTGAAGTCAACTTGGGCCCTTACCTGCTATGCCACAATGTCTTTTCCCTGAAGTGATTTGTATAAAGAAAATATTATCATGTATTATCACTATGTGTGTATTACTGTGTTTATTCACAATCCTTAATGTAGTTTCGAAATCATTTGACAAATACGTGTAAATATTTACTAGTTTATGAATACCTGTGTGTATTTGAGAATGTGGATAAAAATGATGTATTTTCTGGATGCTGATCAAATGTCCAGATGTTTATCATTTTGATGAGTTTTACAGTGGTTCTGCATAGCCACATGTTGATCCTGTGTTGTTTCTTGGTATCTAGTGCCAGAATATGTATATATAGTAGCATACTGAATTTGAATACACAAAACAGTAGTAGTTGGTTGGCATCTATTTTTGGACCTGTATGCTACATGCTAGTATTTTATTCTTTGCAGTACATCCAGTTTCTGTTGTCTATTATGTACAAGAGTAGCTAGATAACGTACGAAGAATGCGCATAGCTATGTTCCAGTAAAACTTTATTTACAAGAAAATGGGCAGCCTATGAATTTTACCTGTAGACCAGACTTGTTAATCTGGTTGGTAGTAAGTGAATAATGAATTCTTTCAATGTGGATTTGTTAAAATGTCATCATCAAAATGTGGAAGGTAGAAATAACAAGAGAGGAGTTGAAATAAGAATTAGTGGTTGTTTGGTAGGAGTGAGTGGTCAGGGTCCTTAGTTACAGAATTCTTCTTCTTATGCTAAGTGAATAGAGTGAAATTTTATACACTCATTAGTCTGTATGCTTTTGACCAGAAGGTGGTACTTTAAAGTTTATGTTTCTAAATCTTTATTTTAAATCCTCCAGTTATCACCACATGATAATCTGATTCTCAGTCAGCCTGTTTCTTCACCTCTTCCACTAAGGCAAGTAAATTTTAATGTTTCTCCATCTAATGTGAAATAAAGTTAACAAATGTTTTCTTTTTCCTACCTAACAGTTTAACTGTTGATGAAGATACTTTTCATTTACCTGTTTCTTGTCTAAATTCCCTTAAATATTTGAGTTATAGTTCTTGAAGAAAAACTGTATCTCCGTTTATCAACATCAACTACTTACTATGATTTAAATGAGCATATGTTTATATATAATTGATAGATATGTAGAGATTTTAATTATTTTTAACTTGATTCTCTGAAGAACATTCAGATGCAATTAATTTTAAAATTAATAAGGATTTAAAAGTTATAATTATTAAACTATGGAATGATGTATTTTGTCACCTTAAGAGTTCTGAGAAATAATGAAGGATGTTTCCACTACATTTTCATTTCTTACAGTTTAATTAGCTGTATAATTTTTCTATCAGAGAAATAGTTATAATGTAATTAAGTTATTATGTGGCACATACCCAAGGGAGACCAGCTGCTGTTCTTGATGGAACTTTTGTAAGAATTACAGATTATTTCATCACTTACTCTCAATCCAGGGTGTTGACCAGTATTTTCATGACCTTTGTCTGAGCTGAAAATTAACTGGAAACATATACTTTGACAATGAATTACCCCCATGGACTTCCTTTAGCTATTAGTTTCATTGAGATATAATTCACAAACATATCCCGCATGCATACACACAAACCCTTTCTTACGTGCTCCGTCTCTGCGCATCCACCAAATTACTTTGTCTCTATAGATTGGCCTCTTCTGGGCATTTCATATAAATGGAATCATGCTGTTTGTGACCTTTTGTTTCTGGTTTCTTTCATCAAAATGTTCCCCAATTTTATCCATGTTGTAGCATGTATCCATATTTTACTTCCATCATGAAGGGATACCATATGGATGCATTCAGCAGTTGAAATGTTTCTATATTCTGGTTACTGCAAATAATGTTGCCATGAACATATGTAATTTTCTTATAGATATTAGTTTTGCTTTATTTTAAAAAAAATCTACTGAAACTTAACATTAGATAGGCAAAATATTACTTAACTTACAGGATTATCAGCTTTGTCAGTTCAGTGTTTTATTACCTTTAGATGATGAAGTTTATTGTTTTAGCTCTTAATTTGCTTCACATGTATATTTCATTACTTTGCAACTCTTGATTTCTTGTAAGTATTACCAACACTATAGTAAGGATTTTTTGTTCATAAATATTTTAAGATGCATACTTATTTACCTGAGGTTGGGCTTATACTCATGTAGTTTTTCTGATACTTCCAATAAAAGATGTCCCATGCTGAAAGATTTTCACTTAAAAATTTATTTTCAACCAAAATATTCATTTTTTAATTGAGTCCTTTATTTGGAATGATAGACCTGTTAAATATTTTTAATATAAAAGGAAACAATGAATCTTTCTTTGCCATATTGAATCTAAGGCAGAAGAATTACTGATTTTGGAAACCCTTAAAGCTTCATTAGTTTCATACTTATGTAAGAGAATAGTCAGACCTTAGCCATGAGCTTTCCCAATTTATTTTAGATAGCTAAGTGCTTATGTATATTTTTTAGTTATATGTTTTTGTTTGGTTGACAGTGGTGGCAAGTTCTCAACACTTCTTCAGAATCTAGGCCCTGAAAATGCTGTAACACTACTGGTGTTTGCAGTAACAGAACATAAAATCCTCATCCATTCCTTACGACCTTCTGTGCTTACGAGTGTGACAGAGGCATTAGTATCTGTAAGTATCTCCATTTCTTCTTGACAGTTAATTAGTTTCAACATAATTTACCTATGTGACTTAAGGCTATTTTAATGCTCAACTAACATTTAGTGAATAATGAATCATGTTGTAAAACCAACTTTAATTTCCTGGACATTATGTCATTAGTTATAATTCATTACTAAGCATTAAAATTTGATGATAATTTTAAAAAGACAATTTGGGTGTGTGCTGTTTAATTATGCGTCTGTGTCAACAGCTAACTACTCTCCTACCCTTTGTTTATCCAAGATGATTTTTCCTTTCCACTGGCCGTGTCCGTATGTTCCCCTCTGCCCACTGGCTTTAGCAGATGTCTTAAGTGCACCATGTCCGTTCATAGTTGGGATTGATTCAAGATACTTTGATCTCTACGATCCTCCACCAGATGTCAGTTGTGTTGACCTAGATACCAACACCATTTCTCAGTAAGTATGTTTTAATGATGTTACAGCTAATAAATTACGAATTCATGGTATATGTGTACTTGTGTATTTTATGATTGCTAAGTGGGATTCTTTTGAAATGTATTTTCTTTGTCCCTGGTGCTATTATCATTTTGGAATCCATGTTTACTATACACTGATGGAGCAGTTTTAGGGTATTAGAGCAGGTATTATTGGAAAGAAAATAAACTTTAGTCATGAAACTTTAATCAGTATATCAAAGGAAAATTAAAGTAACATATATTAACATTTTTAAGTAACTCCAAATCATATATAAAGTCATTACCTTTATATTCTAGGAATATAAAAATTTCCTTTATCGTGGAATATTTATGTTGTAGCTATTAAAATTATACACCTGGGCCTGGTGCCATGGCTCAATGGCTAAATCCTCCCCTTGCAAACACCAGGATCCATATGGGCACCGGTTCATATCCCAGATGCTTCACTTCCCATCCAGCTCCCTGCTTGGGGTCTGGGAAAGCAGTTGAGGACAGCCCAAAGCCTTGGGACCTTGCACCCACACAGGAGACCTGGAAGAAGCTCCTGGCTCCTAGCTCCTGGCTTCAGATCAGCTTAGCCATTTGGGGAGTAAACCAGCTGATGGAAGACCTTTCTGTCTTTACTTTTCTCTGAAAATCTGATCTGCCTTTCCAATAAAAATAAATAAATCTTAAAAAAAAATACACCCCTCCTCTGCCAACACAGAAAGAAACATTTATTTATGTCTTCCACTTTCCTCTACCCCACCCCAGTCCTCTCCATCCTATTCAGAGGACTACATGGGTCTGTAATTCTCTCACCTTTGTAATAAATATTAAAATGAAAAAATTTTAAAGCCAAAAAAATTATATTTTGCTTTTTTCCAGAAAGAATTTTTAAACTTAATTGATCCATAATTTTACATGTTCATTGGGTTTAGTGTGATAATTGAATATATATATATATTATATAATGATCAAATCATGGTAATTAACACTTACCTTCTTGAACATTTGTTCAAGAGAATTTTTTCCTTCCTACTTCCCATAATCTTTGTTTTGAATTAAAAAAACCAAAGATACATGTATTGTTTAAACTCATAAATATTCCTCTTTGATGCTGTTATTTTCTTTTTGCACTTACAAGAGGACTAGACTTGTGCAATGACAGCTTTCAACTTTCCTGTATTCAGAATTTCTGAAAGCCCAACCTGAAATTTGAAAGAAAAACAAATCACAAGTGTGAAATTCTGAGTTTCCTTTTCCTTTTCTGTTTTAGATGCCCACAATTCAGAGTTTGTTCTGAATAGCAATAATTTTCTGAAGAAAAGGGAAAAAGTTAATACTTAGCATGCACTAGACTTAAGGATGTATAATCTATCTCATGTTAATATCTCTCACTATGAGATAGTTTTTGACCCACCTGGCAGATAAAGAAGCCCAAATTTAGATTTTTAAAGCCGTTTATCAAAGGACACATAGTTAACCACTGTCAGAGTTCAGTTTTGAAACTGTCACCATCTGCCTCTAAAACTAATACTTTACCACCAACAATTGATTGGGTAACTATTTATGTAATAGTAATCTTATAATTGGAAGTAACAACAAATAAGAATACGAAATATTATTGTGGCATAAAACTTAGTGAGTTTTTAAACTCATCTAATTCTAAAATAAAGAAATCAAGAACAAGAGAATGGAATTATGGGAGTAAACCCCAGTAATTTTATGGGATCTGAATCGCCAAAGTATTTTTCATTGATTCATGCCATGAACACATCTTCAGAACCTTTTTTTTTTTTTTAATTAATCGCTGGCAAAAAGTATAATGGCAAATAAATAGATTTTTCACATTGCTCCTATGATAGTCTTGCTAGATAGGCATGTAAGATACATTGGGGCTTCTGTTGAGAAAAGCTTTAAAAAAATAACAGTGTGTTTTTTGTGTGTTCCTAGGATAGCACAGAATTCCATGCCCTTGGTTACAAATGTAATAACACCTTCACAACAGGACATCTGCAATTTGACCCTGTGCTATATTTTTATTCTCCTTGATGGAAAAACAGGACAGATTTCAGGGATAGTCATTCTTCATAGGTTTAAACTTTACCACATGCTTTTCTTTTTTTTTTTGTTTGCCAAACTGATCGTTTCCCTCTTTTTCTGGGAAGTTTAGGAAGATGAGAAAAAGTATTGCAAATTCCATAGCACACCTGGGTTATATTGCTCTTTTGTGATTCAGACCATAAGTAACTTACTTTTTTTCCTCTTTTTTTCTGTTTTTCAAGTGTTTTCTAAAATGAGTGTCTATTCTTTTAAAATAGGAAAAAAGTGAAAGCTGTTGTTAAGTCCAAAAGTTAGGTTGTGTTTTATCATAAGTCCTTTTCTTCTCCTACCTTTTGTGTATAGTTTAGAGGCCAACTGTGTGGTGATAGCTGTAGTAAAGGAGAGTTTAGGAGCCTTCCATAAACAGAGGAACCTCTCCCACTGGTATCCTCTCGGTTATGACAGTCTTGTGGGGACACCTTGCTTTGGTCGAGTAATTTACAGAATGGATTATTTCTTTCTTAAAAGAAACAAAAATAATCTTTACTTACACTTTCAGAAAACTAAGAAACTAAATACTGCAGTGTGTATCAAAATGTCTTTGATAAACTCTACAATTCATAAGTTATTGGAAAATTTTCTTTAAAAAGATTTTTTTTTAAATTTATTTGAGAGGCAGACTTACAGAGAAAAAGGTAGAGACAGAGAATCTTCCATCCACTAGCCCGCTCCCCAAATGACCAAAATGACTAGGGCTGTGCCAAACCAAAGCCAGGAGAACAGAGCTTCTTCTAGGTCTTGTGTCCTGAGTGTGGAGGGGCCCAAGCACTGGGCCATCTTCTGCTGCTTTCCCAGAGCATTAGCAGGAAGCTGGATTGGAAGCAAAGCAACTGGGATTGAACCATTGCCCATATGAGATGCTGGCATTGCAGGCATTGTTTTTACTAGCTGTAGTACCACACCAGCACTCATAATGCTTTTTTCTCACAGTAAATTAAAAAAAAAATCTTACAGTAGAATTTTTAAAATAAGAATATATATAAACATTCTTAAATGAGGATTAAGAATAGTGATCATCACCACATTAAGGTTTGCAGGGATTAGCATCATTCCAATGGACAAAGGATTCACTGAGTAACATTGTAATTACAAGTTTTGAACTGTTTACAGGATTTGCCCTGATTGAAACCAGTTTTTAGGGATTGCTCTTGTAGCCACCACTTGTGACAATGGCCATCTCTATCAATGTGTTGGTTTGCATTCCAGCTGCTCTGCTTTTGATGCATCTTTCTATTCAGATCAGCAGAAGGTGACCTAAGTACTAGGGCCCTCACCCTCCATGTGGGAGACTAGGGTGGGACTCCTGGCCCCTGGGCTGGCCCTGACTATTGTGGCAACTTAAGAAGCAAGCCAGCAGAGAGATTCACACACATCTCTCCTGCCCTCTTCCAAATAAATCAAAATTAGATAGACCTTTTTAAATTAAAATGTGTTTTTTAAAAATATTCAGCATCAGTGTTTACCCATAGTTTTTCTTCTTTTAACTAAAATGTTTTATTTTTTTGTTCAGTGAGTTTTCTTTTTTCCTTTTTCATGTGATAAGTTTATACATCCCCTTCCACCCCATTCCAAAAGTCCATGTACCATATATATTATTGTTGTCATTTATTCCAGAAGTGGTGACAAGAAAAATGTAGCCTGGAAGATACTTCCAAAGAAGCCATGCAAAAATCTGATGAACACATTGAATAACTTGCACCAGCAACTGGCAAAATGTAAGTGCATAATCCAGTTCATGGAGATAATTTAATTTAAGATTGGGGCTCCAGTTACTTTGCCTTACTTATAAGAGGATAATATTTGTTTTATCTAAAGGATAATATTCATATAATATTTAAAGAAAATGATCACTAAAGCAAAATTAGTTAGAAACTGAATGAAATATTTATAAAATATATTTTATATTGATCAAATTTTCATAGAAGTTTTAGAATAATACAAAATTTTTAAGATATTAGAGTACTCTAATTTTACCATTACTGAAACACAATGACAAATAAAAAAGGACTTGCAATTGTATAATTTCTTCATATAAATGGAAAAAGTTTTAAAAGCCTAAGACAGATGGTTTAGAAAATGCTGGTGATTTCATTGGGTAAGAACTGGTTTTCATCTTTGGAGAAGCACTGAACTCTTCATACTGAGCTTACTCAAATATTTGGAAGGCACAAGTTTGCCAAAGCATTAAGAAATTAATCAAAATGAGAATTTATTCAAATGTAGAATATTGTAATACATCTTATATAGGAGTATATATTGACAGTAATTCAGAATTACTGATAAGAATAATTAGATCCTCCTTTTGTTATCTAAATAAGTTTCAGAGTCCATAGTTTATAGTTGTGAAATATGGCCTCAGTTCTTATTTATGTTTTAGATGAAATATAGACAGCAGCAGTAACCCCCACATTTGAGAGTTCAAAGTGCATATAGTGTAGTTGAAAATAGGCATGGAGAGAGTGTCTCCAGAGTGAGACTCAGCCAGCACAGTTAAACCACCACCATCCCATATTGAGATGAGAGTTTAAGTCCCAGCTATTCTGCTTCCAATCCATCTCTAAGTTAAAGTGCCTGAGAAAGCAACAAAGGATGACCCAAGTGCTTGGACCCCTGCCACCCCTGTGGAAGACCCGATGGAGTTCAGGTTCATGGCTTCTGCAGCCATTGCACGGGAGTGGAAAGGGGAGGTGAACCAGCAAGTGGAAGATACTCATTTTCTCTCTGTCTCTTCTTTGCCCTTCCTCTCTTTCTCTGGTTCCCTCCCTCCCTTCCTGTCTCCCTTTGCCTCTCTCCCTCATTCCCTTTCTTCTTCTCCTCTTTTTTTACCCCATTGTCACTCTGCCTAGTATATATATATATAAACTTTATAAAGTAAATTCTGTAACAAGTAGGTAATTACAAAGAAACTTATAAATATTGAGATATGGGGAAAAGAAAGAAGACACCAACTATAGCAAAATTTTATCTTATGGATAGCTTAAATGATACACATATTTGTTACCTAGCTACTTGTTTTCTTTTTCTTTTTTTTAAGGTTCATTTATTTTTTATTTGAAAAGCAGAATTACAGAGAGAAGGAGAAAGAAAGCACTTCCATCCACTAGTTCATTCCTCAAATGACTGATATGGCCAGAGCTGATCCGATCCAAAACTAGGAGCCAGGAGCTTCTTCCAGGTCGCCTATGTGGGTGCAAGGACCCAATGACTTGAGCCATGCTCTGCTGCTTTCTCAGGCCACAGGCTGGATTAGAAGTGATGCATGACGGGATACAGGTGCTGATGGTGGAGGCTTAGCACGTAAACCACAGTGCTGACCTCAAGCTAGTTGTTGTCTAAAAGAACTTGTGCTTCTCTTGTAGCTGAGAAGTTTAGCACCAGTTGTAATGATATTTAAACATATTAAAATCAGTAATCCAGCCCAGTCTGCTCTAATGAAAGGCTAAATCTTAAAGCTTAAATCTAGAAGTGTTTGAATAGTTCCGATAATTAGGACTGTATATTACTTTATAGCTTCTGAACTCTTTCACGTGTATCCCTATGTTACATTCATTGTGGTTGAGAGAGGTGAAGTAGCTTGTCACAGATCATACTCTTAACCTTGATGAAGCCAGGAATAAAAAACTAAGTCTTCTGGTTCTAATGCCCACTTTACAGTACTCTTAGTTTTAGACAATAAAAACACCCAAGAAACTGTCAAAATACTTTTTTTCTCATATTTTGGGAAGTTTTAAAGTTTGAGACAATCACATAGAATTTTTTCCCCTGCCGTTTGAGCTTAGATGTCCTGTCATCTCTGTGTAAATTTTGTTTTTTACGAACAGGTACATTCTTTCACATCTCCATAAAATAACCATGAAAGTCAGGAAATTAACATTGAGCATTACTTTCCTTCTAACTTCAGATCACATTTACATTTTGGGTTATCATAATACTGTTCTTTATAGCAAATGGATCAGTTCCAAATCAGTTATTGATTCAGTTTCAAGTTTTTCAGCCTCTTTTTTTCTAAAGCAATTTCTCAGCTTTTCCTTCATTTTCTTGACATTAATGAAGGTTGTACTCACCAGTGTAGGACGGGCTGTTTTCTGAGTTTCAGTTTCCCACGACAGGTAACAAGTCAGGCGCTTCTGGCAGCAGTACTGCAGGAGTGGTGCTGTGTTCCTTGCATTGGATCTTACTAGGTTTTATGCTGTTTCACACTATTTCAGTTAAAGTTCAGACTTTGATCACTTGATCAGGGTGGTATCTATCTAATGCCAGCTTGCTCTTTTGTTATCTGATAGCATTATCTCTGAATTTGTAGAAAATATTTGGGTTTTTATTTTTTTAAATTAGTTTTATTTATTTGAAAGGCAAAGTGACAGAGATAGGAAGATCTTTCTTCTGCTGGTTCACTCCCCAAATGGACACCATATCCACATTTGGGCCAGGACAGAACCAGGAACCAGGCACTCATCTGAGTCTACCATATCGGTGGAAGGTGCCCAAGTACGTGGGCCATATTCCACTGTTTTCCCAGACACATTAGCAAGGAGCTGGATAGGAAGCATATCAGCCTAGATTTGAACCAGCATTCTGGCATAAGATTTCACTATGACAGGCAGTAGCTTAACTGTCATGCCACAACATCAACCCCAGAGTTATTGTTCATATTTTAGACCTTATGTTCCTTCTGGATTCACTTATATTTTTAAAAAGGAAAGGAAGAATGATTGTTGCAGATAATTATTATTATTGCTTTCAGATGCTGTGTTGTTTGGTCTTTATTAGCTATTATGTATAGCTGCTTTTGAACATGAACCATTTTTCTTAAGATAGATAAACCCTTTTTATCTATCTTAAGAAAAAACATCAAAAACATTTTTGATGTTTTTATGTTTAATTTGGATAAAATGTTCTTAACGGAGCCTAAAAAGACAAAAAAAAACCTTGCCAAGATTTCCATATTATGAAGTAGTGTAAATAGATATTTGTTCAGGGTTGAATGCTTTGGAAAATGTCACAAACTTGTACTGCTGCCATCATGGGCATCGATTTGATAGTTTGGAGAAAACACTAACACTGCATTTCTTCACAGTGCAGCAGAGACCACGAGATGATGGGCTGATGGACTTAGCAATGAACGACTATGACTTTAATTCTGGGAAGAGGTTGCACATGATAGATTTGGAAATTCAAGAGGCATTTTTGTTTTTCATGGCCTCTATTTTAAAAGGCTATAGATCATATTTAAGACCAATAACACAAGCTCCTTCGGAAACAGCCACAGATGCCACCTCTCTTTTTGCCCTTCAGGGTAAGTGAGTGCATAGTTTTAAAGCTCTTTAACTGTTGACTTAACTTTGAGATCATTCAGTTGCTCTCTGGGTCGACAGCCCAGTTACCTGTTTTCATACCTATCTTGAGGATACCTCCAAAATGAGTAGTAGCTCTTTTGATAATCTGTTCCCAAATGATTAGTGCTTTCTCAGGCATGTTAGATATCATCCCATTAGCAAAAAGTGCTGTAAGAATTATTTGGAAAGTACAAAATTCCTAACCATATAGCATTGCACTCTGTTATGTGTTGAGATTTCAGTGTTTTCAGTTTTTAAGCAGTGTGATAGATAGAAAGGTCTCCTGGGATGGTCATTTCCAGGCTTGAGTACCTTTATTTCTTTGATTTCAATATGATTTCCAAATATTTTCTGCCTGTGCTGTGAAGTTGAAAGGCTGGGAAGTTCTAGACTATAATTGGTATCATATTTTGTATTTTCTTTCTTTTGCTATACTTAACGTCTGAGAGAGATTTATTTAATAAATATAATTGAGGTTGATTGCCATGTCTGTTTTCAAAACAGACATGGTCACAAAAAGAGAGACTTATGTCACTTATCTGACTAAGAGAAGAGAAAAAACAATTATAAAATAGTACAAGTGAACAACATAGATTACACAGGGCCTTTCTGGAGAAGTAACAGCTGAGCTGTGATCTCAAACTCAGTAGAAATCATCCAGCCTAGGGGAGGGCGGGAAGAGTGTTTAAAGCAGAGTTCATGCAGTGTTCATGCAGAATACTGAGGCTGGAAAGCCCAAGTACTGTGTATAAGTGAGCATAATAAATAAAACAGAATCTGAAATCAGGAAATAAACTTTTATACTGTTTTCTCTAAGCAAGGGACAAATGCAAATGAACATAAGATGGATCACTACTTTTAGGAAGTTATTTGCATAGGAGTGAACATACGTGACACACAAAACATTTAGGTAAAAAATAGCAACTTCTGACTCACTAGTTTAGGTATAATCTTCAGGATAATGAGAGGACAATGGAGACATTCTAGATGAGGATTTGAGATTATCTGTCTGTGTTTGCATTTCTTCTCTGTCGCTTTGCTGTTTTCATTGTCAAATCATTTTTGTTCTTAGAAATTTCTTCTCAGATCTCTTCTTCGAAATCTTAACTTTTTTGTCCTGTAAAGTAGTGTGAGTATGCAGGGTGTAGACAGGATAATTGACCAAATTCCTTCTAGCTCAAAACTTTATGAATAATGTAAGATTGATATTTTGTATTCTGATATTATGTCTTTGTGTTGAACAGCTTTCTTAAGAAGCCGGGACCGGTCACATCAAAAATTTTACAATATGATGACCAAAACACAAATGTTTATTCGCTTCATTGAAGAATGCTCCTTTGTCAGTGATAAAGATGCAAGCCTGGCATTTTTTGATGATTGTGTAGACAAAGTAAGTAACAGTGTATCTGTAGTTTGTATAACTTACTTTGTATAACTGTTAGGAGTTACAGACTTTGCCAAAATTTAAATTGTTTGCTTTCATCAGTGGTCACTTAAAATGATAACTGTGGCTTCCTGCTAGAAATTGTAGAGTAACACCTCTTAGAAGTACTTCGCATGATTTTACTAAACCTTGAACTTTGCTTTAGTGGTCAGTCCCAAACCTTACCTGTCTGCTTGAAGGCTAGGAATCTTCTAAACTTTTAGACCTCCAACTTGACTGTCTGTCTGAGGGGGTTGTCCCGTGTTCTATCATACTGTGAAGTATAATAGATATTTCACCTGAATATTTCTACAATTGAGAGTGAGCTTGTACCATAAGATATTCTGATCTTTTAAATGCATGTTGAGGCTATCTCCTTTTAATTCTGTCCTAATATTATTATGTGGTACAAAGCAAAGTGTTGAGTATCCATGCAGGAGAGAAGAGAGGGGTATTATCTAGTCTGAATAGAGTTAGGAAAGAGGAGCAGCCTAGTTTGGAATGTTGGAACCCAGGCCAAGTGAGGGACATACCCAATGCAGATGCATAGCCTAGCATGAAAAGTCAGAGAAGAAACAGGAAGGAGGATGTCCATGATGGGAAGCAAATTGGCACAGCTTTTCAGAACCTGACTGCAAAGATGTGGGTAACAGGGAGTGTCAGAATTTGGGCAGGGTGAGGAAAGCATCCCCATGAAGTATAGCAAATGGGTGGAGGGTCAGTTTAGTGTATGTGAAGAAGATGTCAACATGGTGGAAGTTGGGGCCGTTAAGGACAAATTAGGGAGAAAAAGTCATCTTCCTGATGGAGGAGTGGTGGCAGAGATGAGAGAAGGTTGCTGATGAAAAGCCTTGATCAATTAAGTAAGTATGTTAAAAATAATATTTCTCACTGTCAGGGAAGGATCTTAAAAATATTGAGGTAAAGAAAACTAGAATGAACTTACAGAGATCGAAGTTTGTTTGGAAGTTTGCTGTGGTTTTCAATGACCCATATCACTATGCATGTTAGTTTAGATATCTATATGTAACGTATTAATTAATTCCCTAGTTCTGTACATTGTGAGGACTTGGGAACTGCGACATCCCATTAGCAGTGAGCATAGCTAATAATAGGGTCTTGACTTCTAAACACTATTCTCTACTAAAAGAAAGCAGGACTCCCTAGAGAACAATTGATTCCAAGTTTAGGGCTAGGAAAATAAAAGCATTAAATACAAAAGTAATAATAAAGTATTGTGTGCTGTAAAACAAGGACTTGCTCCAAGAATGAAGTAAGATATGTTAAAACCCATACAATGAATCCAGTTTGAAGAAATTTCTGTGATAATTTGAGCATTAAGTATCAGTAGCAGGTTACTCTATTAAATAAAATAAGTTGAAAGTGTGGTGAGAATCAAATCTTACAGTTTCAAAGTACCTCCCCACAAAACATACATTAATAAGAAAAAGGAGAAATAATAATTTTATAATGGAAAACAAGTAAAGAAAATAAGATATCAATTCTGAAGTATTTCTGCAAAAGACATATAACCTGTGTAATCTCAAGGAAATATCATACAAATACAAATTAAGATATATTCTACAAAATATCTATTGTCAAAATAAGGGAAAAACTGAAAAACTTGAGATAAAGATATTTGACTTCTAAATGCAGTTCATACAGAACAGAATTCCTTTTGTATAGCATTATTAGGGTAATAAACTAAACTGTAGTGTGGTATAAGAATTAGGTAGTAGTTTATTCATGCTAATTTCCAGCTGTAGTTACATAGCAGAATGTCCTTATTTGTGCAAAGTACCTACATACTCAAGTGTTAATGAGGAACATGAGGGAGGCATCTTAAGATCAAAAATTAGGGGGGAAAGAAGTTGCTTGTACTCTTTTCTATAAATTTGTGATCATGTAAACACATATATAGTATAGAGACATATATGCATGTATTCATTATATGTATTAAATAGAAATAGTACCTGTGATCTTAAAGAGCCTGTGATAATAGATAAAAAGGAAGAAAGCAAAGCTTTTGCATATATTATCTCAGCAATTGGCAAGTGTAAGATTATTTAAAGAAGTCTGTCACTTTCAGATTTATGCTACTGTGAAAGATAAATATGATTCATTCCTTAATATTCAGAAATTGCCTCAATTCTGAATATGACATAAAACCTTACTGATTGTGTGTCATTCGAAAATAAGGAATGAGTTTCACTGTCCATGGTATAATAGGAAAAACAGCACATTGGAAATTAAAATTAACTTTAATCCCTGCTGTTACACTTATGACTTTTGTTATTAGCTTTTTTAATGCTGTCTTCTTATCTATGTTTTTAAAAAATGTTGTGAAAAAGCATAATTATAACTGCATGTCTCATAATAGCAAGGTTATGTAAATTCGAAAGTAGAAAATTTAATTTTGTTGTTTTGCTAGGTTTCTTTTTATTCTTATTTTCCATTTTACAGTTTTTCAGACATAGAACTTCCTTCCTCTCCCATCCCCTCCTCCCTCCTCTTCCCTCTTGCATTGGCTCGGTTTTATTGAAGATTACAAATTGGTATTTCATTTTTGTTTTATTTCACCATAGAAATGTGTAATTTTTGAGCAAAATATTTATGAACAGCATATGAACAGAATTTTGTGTAGACATCTATCATTTCTGACAAATGGAAGATATTTGAAGGAAGATTGATGTAAAGAAACACCATTTCTGGGGCAGGCATTTTGGCACAGTGGGTTAAGGCACTGCTTGGGATGCTGATGTCCAATATCAGAGTGCCAGCACAAGTCCCAGCTGCTCTTCTTCCAATCCAGCTTCTGCTAATGCCCCTGGGAAGGCGGTGACAGGTGGCCCACGGACTTAGGACCCTGCCCCCCAAGTGGAAGCCCTGGCTGGTGTTCCTGACTCCTGGCTTTGGCCTGGATATTGCAGCCATTGATGGGTAGATCACTCTCCCTCTGCCTTTCAAGAGGGCCGGGTAGGGAAGATATCACTATGCCCCGAAATCTATATTGTGAAATACATGAAATTTGTTTACTTATATAAATAAAATAATTTAATTTAAAAAAGAAAGAGGGATAAAAATGAATACAATTATTACCTGCTTAGAACTCATACAAACAATAGTAGAAATGATGGGTACCTATAGTTCAAATGGTAAAGAAGGAAAGTATTATGTTTTAAATATATATTAATTTTGTGTGTGTAGTAATACTCTAGCCACTTCTTGGTACATTAAAAAAATAAGTGTACTGAAATGTACAGACCATAATAGAATCCTTAATGCATGTTTTTATAACCACTAATTTCCATACAACTGTGACTAGAATATAGAATGGTTTCATCACCCCAGAAAAGACATACTTAGGAAGAAAGATTTATTTTCTGTATGTTTGAATAATCTTTTTCTAACTTAATCTTTTTGTAACTTGATCTGTTTCTACATAGAGTTTTGAAATCCTATTTATTTTGAGAAGGCAATAATATCATAGCTTCTTGACAGTTTTGTCTTCATTATAACACTATAACACTGTACCAAGGACTCATTTTTTCTATACTTCACCACGTTACATCTTGTTTGATGCTTATAAAATCAAATATTGGCAAAAATAGAAAGCTGTGTTTTAAAAATAATTTTTTGCAGGAATAATTGTGTTGGTTTTTTATGAAAGGATGGTATTTCTTACTAGCATTGTGAACTTTGAATGTTTTTTCCCCATATGCTGAAAATTTACTGGTCACTCATTTGTACACTCTGAATATCCCTTTATGAAGACTGGTATACATCTGTGTAATAGTTGTTTCCAGTATCAAACTAACTAACTGAATCATAAGGCACCAGATTAGAGGAAGTATTATAATGTAGCCCTTAATTTTGATCTCTTATGCATCTTATTCTTAGGTTTGTGTTTCATCTGGAACTCATGGTAGTCTCTCATGGTTAAAGATACACTCATTACTGTAAGAATTTCAAGACTTGTAATTTTGCTTTGTACCCAGGGCATCATGCCAAAAGGAGATTATTTTGGTACTGATAATTAATATATTATATTCTCCTGGATCTTCTGCTGTTTTTGTGGTGGAAATTATTGCAGGAGATGTTCAAGCAATTTCCTAAAGAATATGAATTCTGGGCCCGGTGAGGTAGACTAGTGGTTAAAGTCCTCGCCTTGCATGCATTGGGATCCCATATGGGCACCAGTTCTAGTCCCGGCAGCTCCTTGCTTGTGGCCTGGGAAAGCAGTCTTGGATAGCCTAAAGTCTTGGGACCCGGTACCCATGTGGAAGACCCGGAGAAAGTTCCTGGCTTTGGATAGGCTCAGCTCTGGCCATTGCAGCCACTTGGGGAATGAATCAATGGACAGAAGATCTTCCTCTCCGTCTCCCCTCTCTCTAAGTCAAAGTACATTTGACTTTCCAATAAAAATAAATATATATATTTTTAATGTATATTCTGGGACCTCTCAGAAAAGGAATTTCTACTAGCTGTATAATCATTGTTTCCAGGTAGACTATGTACTTAAAATGTTACTACCTAGTCAAAGTCTGGATTCATGGATTGGGCATTTGCTATAATGGTGAAGATGCTGCTTGGGAACCAGCACTGCACATTAGAGTGCCTGGGTTCAAGTCCTACTCCATGCCCAATTCCAGCTTGCTTGAAGTGAGCATCATGGGAGGCATCAGTTAGCTGATGGCTCAAGTACTTGGGTCCCTGACATCCAAACAAGAGATTAGGATTGAATTACCACATTATTGCTTTGATTTGGTCCAACTCTGGCAGAAGGAAGATCTTTTTCTCTCTCTTTGCTTTTCAAACAAACAAACAAACAAAAAAAGCTAGAAGAAACTCTAAATCCAACAAAAGATCACATATATGACGGATTAACATTGCACTTATAGATTTTAATGCCTGGTCAGAATATCAAAGCTGAAAAAAATAACACTAAAATCATTTTTGTGTATAGTAGAGTTCAAAGAACTCTTTTATTAGGAAAAAAAAAAGGTGGGGGGGAGCAGCACAATGGCTCGACTTAAAAAGAGGGAGCAGATAATGCTGATTAGACAAACTGTATGGAAGTTATTTGAGTTTCACTTATGACTAATTTAAGAGCCATGTGTTCTTGCTCTTCATATTTTAAATCCTTGCAATCTGTTTCTATGGAGTGATGCTTAACTAAGAACAATTTTGTGTAACAAATAGTCTGGTAAATTTTTCTTGATTTTTTTTAAACATCCTGTGCATTTTTTTCTAAGTATATTAATATCTATGGAAAAATATAAAGGGAATATGAAAATTATTTTAATTTTATCCTTTTGTGGGTGTCAAAGTTCTTTTTCTGTCAATAGTTAAAGACATCACTGTGCTTTCCAAAAGACAGAGGTACTTAAATAATGATAAACGTGGGATATACTGTATGTCAAGATGAAAGTGTATTGGTGTGCAAGTAAAAGGAAACTTTTTTCACCAAACTGTTTAGTGTACAGGGCAAAATTTTAGTATCTACATAAACGTTCCATTGTGGAGGATTCAAGCAGTTGTCCTGGACCTCAAGGTTATTTCACATGAACAAAATGACTTAAGAGTAGAAAGTAAGGCATAGATCTAAAAAGGGAAAAGCTATCAAAAACAAAAAAAGAGGAAGAAACTATGAAATAAGTAAATAAGTAACTATTAAGTAAGAACCAGTTGAACATCTGGTGCCCAAGGGCAAAGCAGTCCTCTTGCAGTGTGCCATTGTTGGGACAGGGGTGGCTGGCATATTTGTTCCCAATGACCCAGGATGTTTGTTCTGGCTCATGCCTTCTATCTTGTTGTCACTGCATCCTTATTCATTAAATTTTCTCCATTTTTATCTGCATAAAAATGTTTGTGAATATAAAATCTTATTTGGTCTTGAGCACCATATCAAAGATGCTTATGATTTGTCATTAACTTTTTTTTTTCAACTTGAGAGGTAGAAAGAAACAAAGAGAAATCAAGACAGTTCCCATTTGTTGCTTCACTCTGCGAATACCCACACCAGCAGAAGTAGAAGCTGGGCATTCAATGCAGGTCCTCCTTTGGGTGGCAGCAGGAACTCAGTTCCCTGAGCCACTACCACTGCCTTGCAGGGTCCAGGTTATCAAGAAGCCACAAGCAGGAGCTGAAAGCAGGAATCTAACAGTGTCTTCACCTCTAGACCAAATACCCTTCCCCGTTGCCATGTTTCTAGTGATGTTTTCTAAAAGCATTTTTTTAAAAGATTGATTGATTAATTTGAAAAGCAGAGTTTAGACAGAAAGGTAGTATTAGAGAATATAGTGTTAATACTATAATAATATAGTGTTAACTCTATACTAATAGTGCTAGTATTAGAGAATAGTGTCTTAACTGTATCAAATTAGGACAGGGACCTGGGAGTTCTTTAAATGGAGGTTTTTGGCTGGTTCTCCTGATCCAATCCCAGCTGCACCCCTATCTTAAAGGGCACCTAGCACTTTTCCACCCTGACCTATCTGAGTGAAAAAATGACTGTACCAACTTTGAATAATACTAGGGTGTGTGGTTATCCAGTTTAATCTATTTTACTGTATCATAGCTAGGTTCACCATATAAATGTCTGACTAGCTCAGAAATTTAAAAGTACCTTTTTAAATATAAATTAATATAGTCTTCAACAGAATTGAAATAATAAGTGCTTGATATAAAAACTACATATTCTCCCTTGTTAAATTTTTAGTTATCATTTTGAATTGAAAAGCAGTAATACACATAAGTAAATTAATTAAATTGTTGGTAGTACATAATCTAGAACAAACATCCTGGTAGTGATAGTGATAGAGAAAAGAGAACCCAAATATGTCTATATAATATATGTAAGATCTTTAAAAATTTCAGCACATACATATATAACCATTTTATTTCTTTTATCATTAGTTGGTTAACATTTTCTCTTGCTATTAATTAAAAATTCTAAAACATGTCCTCATGTTGTCCAGCTTGCTGCAAATGATAGATGAACTATTAAAAGCATTTTAAAAGGAAGTGTTGCAACTTACAGTTAGAGCATGCTCTTATTTTCACCATGTTTTTACTCCAGAGATAGTATAGCATGCCTAATAATTTTCACCTTTATTTTGGAGTTCTTTCTTATACATGGAGTTCTTAGTAATACATAAAGAACTATTCCATTTGTATTATTAAGTAACTTCAGTATGTGTACAAATCAATGCTATAGATAAAATTCTGCTATTTTTGGGTTTTATAATGTATGTTATTTTTTAACTCAGGTGGATATGGACAAGAGTGGTGAAGTGCGACTTATAGAACTGGATGAATCTTTCAAAAGTGAACACACTGTTTTTGTAACGCCACCCGAGATTCCCTATCTGCCCAATGGTGAAGAACCCCCTTTGCAGTACAGGTATTCAAGAGGCAGACTGGTTGAGATTGAAAGTGAGAAGCAATCCAGCACCTGGGACATAGCTTTCTAAGGAGTGTGGTATTTTCAAAATTCCAAACTTTACAGATTCATAATTTTTAGGTGGTAAGCAAGCTTATCCCACATCCATTATTAAGTTTTGAGGTATAAACAGAAATATATGTGTGTGTGTGTGTACTGTAGATTTGGGAAGCTCTCTACGTCTACCCAAGTATTCTCATAAATATTGATTAAATTCAGTTAGATTTCCCCACCCATTGGAGCACTTTTATTGAAGAATTTTGAATAGCACCATCTCATGAATTAGGCCTTGAACCTGGATTAACCTGATTAATCAATTCATGATAATATGAAGGTTAGCCCTGATTGTTATTTGAATTTTTAACAGGGAGAGTCTGTTGTAAATGTGGTAATCTGAAACTGTGAAAATAATAGATGCCCTGTTTGAAAGAAAATTTTTGGTGGGCCCCTTACCAACTGTCTTGTTTTCTAATATATTTGCTGCATATTTGTCTAAATACTAACCTTCAGCCATTTACTTGAGTTACTATGAAATTTGATGACATTAAAGAAAAGTTAAATATATTCCCTCTATGTACTTGAGTTTGTAAGTAGCTGTTATGTTTCTAGATATTATAGTAAAAGCACATCATTAGTGTGAACATTTATTAACTATCTGTCAAAGTCTGATTGAGAAATTTATAGTTAAATTTTAAGAAGTTATTAATTGAGGACTAGGTGTTTGGTGCAGCAGTTAAGATACCAGTTAAGTTGCCTGCAATCCATATTGGAGTGCCTGGGTTTGAGTCCTGCTGCAGGTCCAATTCTGACTTCCTGTTTATGTGTAACTGGGAGACAATGATGATAGCTCAAGTACTTGGGTCCTTCCCAACTACATGGGAGATCCAGATTGAGTTCCAGGCTCCTAAATTCAGCCTGGCTCAGACTTAGCTTTTGTAGGCATTTGAGGGGAGGGGTAAATCAGTGAGTGGAACTCACTTACTGTGTCTCTGAAATGAATAAAAACAAACAAAATAAATGTAAGTTTGTTTTTTCTGTTTATAACCATTGTGATCATCTATGTGTACTTGAATTTTTTTTTCTTTTCTGAAACAGCTATAATGGATTTCCAGTTCTTAGGAACAATTTATTTGAGAGACCAGAAGGATTTCTGCAAGCTCGAAAGAACAAACTGCCTTCAAAATCAAGTAGTCCTAGTAGCCCTTCTCCCATGTTCAGGAGAACAAAACAGGTGCTTTGAGAATTTTGCCATCTTCGTGAAATCAAATAATCAAGCAAACAGTAAATTTGGCACTGATCTTCTTTAATATATTTTATCACCCTATACACAGCTGTTAATGGTTAATGGTCACTGAAGATAATAAGAGATGATGTTTTTAATATCTTCCAAAGATAATTTAGAAAAATCTGACTTCAATAAATTAATTTATTATTGTGTCCTAGAAGTTTACATGTTTTATAATACAGATTCAAAAAGAGGTTTGAAAATGTGTAACAGATTCTTATGGAAACATTACAAAAATGTGTCACTTTTTTTCAGCATTCAATTAAATAAGGATGTTTAAGTATGTAAATTTATCCATGAAAACCTTGCATTTTTTTCTAGGAAATTAAGTCAGCCCATAAAATTGCCAAGAGATATTCTTCCATCCCTCAGATGTGGTCCAGGTGTCTGTTGCGTCACTGTTATGGATTGTGGTTTATTTGTCTCCCAGCTTATGTGAAAGTATGTCATTCAAAAGTCAGGGCTCTGAAAACAGCCTATGATGTGCTAAAAAAAATGCAATCCAAGAAGATGGATCCACCTGATGAGGTAACAGTTTTTTGGTAAACGCACTGTTCTGCTTCAGCTTTATATACATACGTATCTTTGTTTCTGCACACTTTCAAACTTGTGTTTCAGGTGTGCTACCGCATTCTTATGCAGCTCTGTGGACAGTATGATCAGCCAGTGCTTGCCGTGCGCGTGCTGTTTGAAATGCATAAGGCTGGCATTGACCCCAATGCCATTACTTATGGTTATTATAATAAGGTATGGACAAATAGCATTATTTTTGTCACTATACCCCCTTAATTTAAAGACAAATAATCAGAGGTTATTTGATATTTATATTAGAATACCTAAAGTATATTTTGTAAATCAAGTATGACTTTCTAATTTTCTTTGTTTTATACAATGTTTTGATATCTTTAGCTCGATGATTTTGAGTGTTCACTTACAAAATTTATTTTACTGATTATTTTGTTTTATTGAATGAATAGGCTGTTTTGGAAAGTACCTGGCCTTCAAGAAGTCGTAGTGGCTACTTTCTTTGGACAAAAGTAAGAAATGTTATTTTAGGAGTAGCACAGTTCAAAAGAGCTTTAAAGAAACATGCACACTTATCACAAACAACTCTCTCAGGTAATTAAAGGCTTTTAAGGGTTGTATGTGTTTGTTTTTTTTTTTTCTAAAATTAACGGGTTAGTTATACTTCATATTTTTAGGAATTTTTTAAATGCTTTGGTCTGTTGTTATTGCCACTGAATACTGGAGACCGGAAGGACTTCAAAGTTTGGGTTTTAAAATATATGCATATATATGATCTATTTGGGGTGGGGCCCATATTTATTTATTTTTAACTTTATTTTTAAATTTTAGATGATGTTTACATAGTTGATCCCAGGGTTAGGGAAAATTGGGAAAAGTGGATATGATCATGTTTCCAAGCTTCCTATTTCTTCTCCCCATTTCTGGAGTGAGTAGGGAAATAAGGGTAGAAGCCATACCCAGCCTCCCAACCCACCCCAGTATCTGAGGACAGGGAACAGCCACCCAATATCAACCCAGGGTCCCAATGTGGCACACGCTCCGAGGGTACTGCCCAGGTGGATGCGATAGTTCTGAAATGCTATTGATCTTGCTGATCTATGGATGGGAAAACGCGCCCAATGTCCATTGGCTGGCATTCATCCAGTTTGGCTGGGATACTTGTCCATACGTTATGTTCTCCATTCTCTGCTATGGTACCAGATGTCCTCTGCAGACCCCGATGGTCTACCATATCCTCTGTGTGTACCGTGGCCTGCCATGGGACTCATATTTAAACACTAAATTTACTGGTGTTTCACAGACACCTAAACATTTATCCTGAAGGTAATTTTAGACACTATTTTAATGCACCTGCGTTTGACTATGACCCATCTTGGGATCAAATGTGGAATTTTATGATGTCGTGTTGAAACTTTTGGAGCAATTTTAAAAGGTTTTGATTTTGGATTAGGTGTGATCAATCTGAGTTCCTACTTTAAAAACTTTTTTAAAAAACAGATTTCTCTTTTATTTTTCCAGCTGTTAAATTGTCAACCTTTAGTGATCTTGTTTTAGTATTTCTTACTTCACAAGATGTTTCTTTGATATAATTGTAATTTGCTAATTACGTGGCAGTTTTTACTTTGATTATTGCTTTAGTAGTTTATAAACTTGAACAACTAAGGGATATTTTTTGGTATCTCCTTGAGTAGTAAAATGCTACAGAAGTGTGTTTTCAAGCAGATGCCTATGACCTTTTTGCTGTTCATCATGGCAGCGTGGATAGTAGTCATGGGACACACACTGTGGAACAAGCACCTTTTAACTTGGGTTTTATCAAAGTGTATGCTACTGATAATAGATCTAGTGAAGGTTTGTATATGCATATGTTTACATCTATGACAGCTTAAATACTGAATTTCCTAGCCTGTATTTTTTAAGTTTTGAATGGTATATTTCCATGTTCTGTCACTTTTGAATTTTATAAATTAGGTAATAGGTAGCACATTTAATAGCTATGTACAGTATTTCTTCTATTTGAATATAAACAAAAATTAAAGACAAGCTATAAAGTACTTTATTCAAATACTTTGTCCATGATAATCTACTTAATTCTGCATAACACATATCTTTTTACCATATAATTTTCCTAAGATCAATCCTTTATAATTATGAAAATATGATTAGAGTTTAAACAAATTTCTGGGGCTGACACAGTGGCATTAGCAGGCTAGTCCTCCGCCTGTGGTGCCAGCATCCCATGTGGGTACTGGTTCAAGTCCTGGTTGCTCCACTTTCCAATCCTGCTCCCTGTTAATGGCCAAGGATGGCAGCAGATGATGGCCCAAGGCTTTGGGTCTCTGCACCTACCTGGAAGATCTGGAAGAAGCTCCTGACTAATGGCTTGAGATCTGCCCACATCCCAAATGGTCATTGTGGCCATTTGGGAAATGAACCAGCAGATGGAAGATTTCTCTCTGTGTGTTTCTCCCTCTTTCCCTGTAACTCTTTCAAGTAAAATAAATTTAAAAAAAAAAAAAAAAGAAACTTCTAGCTCCTTTTCTGAATTAATACTACTATAATAATATCAAGTCCTGATCATAGCAATTGTAGGACATTATTCGGAGAAGCTAGATGAAAGGTGCCAAATAATTCACTATACTATTTTTTTTTCAATTTCTTGTGCATGTTTAAACTACTTTAAAAATTTTTAAAATAATCTTTCAAGTAGTTTAAATTTTTTTTCTTTTGAAAGGCAGTTATGGAGAGAAAGGGAGAGAGATCTTCCATCTGCTTGTTTATTCCCCCTAAAGGCCACAACACCTGCTGCTGGGCCGGGCTAAAGCCCAGCCATTCATTCACATCTGCTGCAAGGGAGGCAGAAGCCGCAGTACCTGAACCATCTTCAGCTGCTCTCCCAGCCATATTAGCAGCAAATTGGATTTAAAGTAGAAAAGCCAGGACTCAAACTGGTGTTCCTATGAGATGCCAGCCTCACAGACAGTGGTTTAACCATTGCACCACAATACTGACTGCTTAAATAAGTTTCTAAAATATTCTTCTAACAGTGAAAGTAATGCTAATTATTGAAATACAGTATTTTTACATCGTTTTTAAAATTTATTTTATTTGAAATACAAAATACTACAGAAAAAATAAGGAACTATCCACTAGTTCACTCCCCAAATGCCTTCAACACCCTGTCTTGGGCTGAAGCTGAGAGCAGAAAACTTAGTTCAGGCCTCTTCTCTGTGGGTGGTAGGGACTCAGCTCCCTAAGGCATCACTGTGCCTCCCAGGATGCACCTTAGCAGGCAGCTGGAACAGGAAATAGAGCTGGGATCTGAACCCGCCTCTGTGATCCTGTGATCCAGGATGCAGCCATCCAACTGCTAAGCCAAATATTCACCCCTGGACACAAGCTTTCTCTAACTATCATTAAAATTGGCAACCTTAAAAATAAATTATTTGCTTACTTTTTTCCATTTGTTATTGCATTTTAATATTATGCATGTCTTTTAGTTGCAGTATAAACATAAGCCCTGTGGACAGAAACTATAAAAATTGAAATGCTACCAATAAATATGAAGGCATCTGTCTCTGCACATGACATTATTTTGGTCCATCTCCTTTTATGTCTACTTTTCAGATTAATAAGTATAATTCATGATATTGAAATACAGTATGCATAGCTATTCTTCCTTCACTGCCTTTGTTTCTTCATCATACAAATTAGTTTAATCTGTTATAGTAGTCATCCTTACCTCTTAATATTAAGAAATGTTTTATTTTTAGCTATGACTCTTTAAAAGGTTAGCCATAAAAGCATGAGTTTCAACAAAATCATCTTCATATTTTTCTATTTTAAATTTTTATGGAAATGGACCTGGCAGTTTTATTAGAAAAAATACCAACTCAAAATAATGCCTAGTGATACCAAATATCATTTCTTTATATGGTGCTCCCAAAACTTATAAAGCCATTTAATGTCTAAGCCCATATAATCATAACTTGTGTTTTACAAATCTGGAAGCATGAGATCTAAACAAAGAGGCTAAGTGACTCCTTAAAATCATCAAAGATGGAGCATGATTCAGAACTTTTTTAATGCTAATCTAGAGAAAACAATTTGCTGAAAATGATATAGAGGCAGTTTAACAAAAAGAAGTTTATTATATTAATGTAGCTTGCTTTTTTTGGTAACATCAGTTTTTTCCTCTCATGTATTTTTCCTCTTGTGCAATTCAGTTAATTATTCAATTGAGTTTTCAGAAAATTTAATTACCAGTAACTTGGGAAGCCCCAATTCTTGCCCATTTAGATACTCCTCTCCAATACTCTGTATTGAATGCTCTGGGCTGAACTGCCCTTATCGCCTTTACTTAGTTGGAACTCAGTTTCACCTGGACGAGTCATGGACTTATATAAAGAATGTCTGTCTGTGATTTGGAATCCCACATAGTAGTGTGAATACACATGACTCCTTCTGACTGCATTATAAAGCCAAAAAATAAATTATTTTGATATCTTTTCTTTCTTACATTACTGGAGATAGGGCAAGGTAGCTAACAAAATAAAGCTTTAAATTGGAATTATCCAGGAAAATTTCCAGTGGAGTTTATGGGATTTTTTTTTTTCTCTTTGCTTTTCTAGGTGGTCAGTCTGATCTGGGATATAATTTATTGACTAAGGATGAAATTAGAAGAGGGAATATATCTGCTGAGGACATTTTGGAAGAAAAAGACAAAAAAGGGAGTGATTCTGGTTCCTGTACGTACTGTTTAACATTGGTTAAAACTGTGACTTAATATTCATAGAAAAATACTAAGTGACTTTTAAGTGCAAAAATATCTGTTTTAATTTACATTCTCCTTAATAACTTTCTTCCTCCTATTCAAAGGCCTCTCCACCACCTAAAAATTTTCATAAAAGTGCTTCTGTATGAAATATATAGTCTCAGTGGCAAAACACTCTCCAATCAAAAACTATTAAAGTTAATACTTGTGTTCACAGAATACTCTTACTTCATTTTGAGGTTTTTTACTTCATTTTGAGGCTTCAAATAAGTGGAACTACTTAATTAGATATACCATTATTATATTCTTATTACCTATTTGTAGGTAGAAATTTTAGAACTAAAAGCTGCTTCTCTGGACCTTTTACAATATAGATTGCACTTAGCTGACTTTTTCATCTCTATTTCTATAGTATCAGAGAGCGAGAGTACAAAAGGAAGTACTGATTGTCTTCCAAAGATCAATCTGCAAAGTTCTTCCAATATTGTTCGCCTCAATGGTACAGGTAACAACAATGCTGATAAAATATCAGGAGAAAACAGGGGTGAGTTGAACATTATACATCTGTTACATGCAGGATAGATTGTGTGTCTAATGAATAACATTTTCTAAAAATGTTAATTTTCCATTCTCTTTTAAAATGTTGTTGTGCAACTTCTCATGGTGTAGCTCAGTGGGTTGAGATATGTATTTTGTGATACTTTATCAAAGCTTTTACTATTACCCCTGTATAGAGGAAAGCATCCAGACTACACTTGCTGGCTTCTGAGTCAACTGAGCCGAGAAGTAGAAGCAGGAAAGGCATAGAGTGCCATACAGCTAGCCAAGTTTTATTTATTTTTCAATTTTATTCTCTTTAAACTCTTAATAAGAGTTTATTTTCATTTCATTTTAAAGAGAAAAGGAAAGGAAATCTTCCATCTTCTAGTGTACTCTCCAAATGTGTACAATAGCTAGAAGAAAGCAGGTCAAAGCCAGGTGCCAGATTTAGGTGCTAACCTAAATCTGCCTTGTGGATGGTGGAGCCCAAGTACTTAAGCCGTCCTCTGCTACCGGCCTGCCAAGGGGTACAATCGTAGGAAGCTCGAATGGCAAGCAGAGCCAGGCCTCACAACCAGGAACTCCAATACGGGGTGCAAACATTCTAAGAACCATCTCCAAAAAATCCACTCTCCAGCCAAGTTTTATAGGAAAGATATGGTTCCTTGGTGTTCATATTGTTCTTTTCGTTTTTGTTTAAAATTTATTTATTTGTATTGTAAAGGCAGATTTACAGAGAAAAGGAAAGAAAGAAAAGATCTTCCATCCACAGGTTCACTCTCCAAGTGGCCCCAACAGCCAGAGCTGAGCCAATTGGAAACCAAGGGCCAGGAGCTTCTTCGGGCAATGAATTCAGTCACTAGGCCATCACACTGGGCCTCATATAGTCATTTGTTGAATAGTCCCCTCAGACAGTTTAGGTAATAACACCTAATATTTTTTTTCTTCTTAAAAAATGCTTTTATAGATTATATTTATTAAGTATAAGGAATATAATATAAAATAATAGAAATATTGCTTATATTTTGAGAAAGAACGTTAACACTGTTTTAAAGATGAGAAAACTAGAGCCCAGCATGATGGCTCAGTTGGCTAATCCTCCACCTCCAATCACTGGGATTCCATATGGGTGCTAGTTCATGTCCCAGCTGCTGTACTTCCCATCCATTTCTCTGCTTATGGCCTGATAAATCAGCAGAGGATGACTCAAGCCTTGGGACCCTGCACTTGCATAGAAGATCTGGAAGAAGCTCCTGGCCCTAGTTTCAGATCAGCTCAGCTCTGACCATTGCAACCACATGGGGAGTAAACCAGCAGATGGAAGATCTTTCTGTCTTGTTTTCTCTCTGTAAATCGGCCTTTCCAATAATAATGTCTTTTTAAAAGTATGTATTAAATAAAAAGATAAGAAAACTAAGACATAAGTTGATTTTTGACAAGTCACAAAAATTATCAATTGTCAGCACAAACATGGGATTAGGATCTGGGATCCTATTGGCTTCACTAAATTTTTCACCAGACTATGTGGGAAGTTAAACGGACATAAGATGCAGAGCTTCTAATGTTAATAATAATTACATAATTACCTTTACTTTGCTATTGGCTTAATTTTATTATGGTCTAAAGGACAGTGAAGGAATTGTACTGTCAGAGCTAAAATATCTCTTTTTAAATAGCTTTGCCTTGCTGTTAATCTTTCTGCAACATAGGTAAATATACCTCTGGTTCAGAAGTAGACAAACAGTGGCCCATTGGTCGGCAGCCTGTTCTGTACTGGCCCACAAAATAACAATGGCTTTTATATTTTGAATGTTTGGCAAAAAATCAAAAGAATACTAATACAAGTTCTTTGATGACATATAAAGACCCTTTAATTTCCAACTTCAGTGTTACAAATAAAGATTTATTAGAGCCCAGCCGTGCTCACCAGTTGTCTATGTCTGCTTTCGTACTTTAACAGCAGAATTGAACAATTGTGACAGAGACTATGTGGCTTGTAAAGACTGAAATATTTACTACCTAGACCTTTACAGAAAAAAAAAAAAAACTATGGAATCCAACTGTAGATGACCTGTAACTATCTTTCTTTAATTTCTTTGTTGGATAGCTGTTAACAATTTAAAATTATTGGTATCATGAAATTGCTTCACAACCATATAATCCCTTCCTAACTGCTTTTTCATGTAACCCATAATCTTGTCTTTTGGTCTTAGTTTATGTCATTACTATCTTTATGCTTGCTTTTTTCTTGATATCTGCTTTTACGAACTTTATGTTCAAATGATTCTCAACCCAGAATAAGCATCTGATCATGTTTTTCAGTTGCCTTGTATGCTTATTAGTCATAAAAGCCTGTGATGTCTTTCCTCGGTATGAATTAGAATTGTTAGTTTTTCCTTGATATTTTTAGCTTAGAAACTTTCCCATGTGTTGTATACTATGAGTTTATCACTGCTGCTAAACATTGTATATGAGGTTTATGGGAATGTTTACTTTTCAATTACTTCTTAATCGTGTTATATACTAATACATACAAAGAACTTTTCAGGTTTATTTGTATTTTGTAGTATAATGTATAGGTATTTTATTCTAATTGGATATATTTGTATATATTCATATATATGATAGCTTCTAAAATTATAACAATAGAATAAACAAAAAGATACTGTAATTTTATGTATTGAACTGAAATTACTCTTTTTTATCATCATTATCTTCGGAATTTAATGTTTTGATGGTCATATATTGAATTACTGGTAGTTCAACTACAAGAAAGTTTAAATCTGAAATGTTTCTGTAAACCTAATTCTGAATTTCTAATGTATTTATATTCTGTATTGGAGAGAGAGAGTGAGAACCACTCCTCAAATGCTAACAACAGCTGGGATAGACCAAGCCAAGCCAAGAGCTGGGAAGTCACTCCAGGTATCCTGCATGGGTAGTGGGACCCTCATTCTTGGAGTCATCACTACTTCCTCCCAGCGTCTGCATGAGGAGGACGCCAGAGTTAGAGGCCAGGAGCGGGTGTTCCAAGCACTCTGATAATGGAATGTAGATGTCAACACCTGCCCCTAATTCTGATTTTATTCTATACATTTTTATCTTCAGGTATTCATACTATATCATATTGTAATCTACTATGTGTTGGTTCAGAAAAATGTATGTTCCAGCTTGAATTTTTGGCTATGGTTGCTGTCTAGTGTATAATATTCAGTTGATAAATAGTTTTGAGCTCCTGAATGCCTCCAAATGCCAGGTGCTGCTGGGGATATGATAAGGAATAAAAAATAAACCAAGCCCCTGCCTTCATGAGAAAAGTGGTGGGTAGACATTTGTCCTAGTGGTTAAAACACCTGCATCCCGATAGCAAAGTAGCTGAGTTCAAGTTTCAGTTCCAGCTTCCTGCCTGTGCAGACCTCATGTGGTAGTAGGTGGTGGCTCCAGTAGGTGGATCCCTATCATCCTCAGGGAGACCTGGATTGAGTCCCCAGCTCCTGGTTTGGGCCTGGCCTGCCCCAACTATCACAGACATTTGGAGAGTTAACCACTGGGAATTCTCTCTCTCTCTTTCTCTCTTCCTTTATATCAAATAAATGATTAAAAAATATTCTTAAGGATCACATTTATTTTTTAAAGAGAAAGCAAGAGGGTGAGTTTCTGTGAGCTAGGATTGGAGGGTTGTTTCTGGAAAATGTCCTTAAAATATGATTTTTGCACGTAAACATAAAAGATTAGTGCAAATTATTTATTAGAAGATAAATGAAGGAAGAAGAGAAGGAGAGAGTGTATCTGAAGCAGAGGTAACCCTCTGTAAAAAGGCTGGATAGCAGGAAGGATACACAGTATGTTCAGCGATCTGAGAGAAGTCTGATGTGTCAGAAAGCATGTTTGCAGCTGTAAATCTCAGAAATTGTGATCAACAGTGGCTTACACAGATTGAACTGTGTTTTTCCCAAATAAAAAATTCAGAGATAAACAGTTTTTCTATGTGACTCTCTGGTTTGGTGATTTGAGGTTTGCTTTTCATTTAAATATGCAAAAGACACAGAATGTCATGGTTCTCTAGCATCACCACAAATATATAACCACTTATTAATTAATTGGCTTCATAGAATTAGTGCAAGTTCATTATTATTAAATATGGATATTAGTTGTTAGGTGTGTTGAAAAGTAGAGCATCCTGCTGTCTAGGAGCATACTCTTTATTACACAAATATGGATTTGAATCCCAAGTCTATCTCCTATGGGTAACTTTGGGCTAAATAATTTGTCTCTCTGATCTTTTGGGTTTTTTTTTTCCTCAACGCATAATGATATTGTAATGTCTGCAGTAGATAATATAAGTAGATTTCCTAGCATAGTATCATCTTCATTAGTAGAATTTTAAATACTTAAGAAGATTTATATATGTGCATTACGTTCTCACAAATAAAACACTTTGCTTGTGTTTCAGAAAACACACCTGAAATGCTCTTAAGATCATCTCTTGAGGATACAAATGAAACAGGAAACATTGAAAGTAGATGCTTCAGGAAAAGACATAAAAGTGACAATGAATCTAATTTGCAGCAGCACATGGCTTGGGGAAATAGAAACCGTAATCTTAGTGGAGGGGTACTGATGGGATTTATGCTCAACAGAATTAATCAGGAAGCAAATCCTGGCGATATAGTTGAAAAATTAGGAGCTGATGCAAAAATTCTTTCAAATGTTATTACAAGAAATAGAAGACCAAATAGTCTTGATATTGGGAAGCCACCTTTAAGATCTAAAAGAGACAGTCTAGAAAAGGAATCTAGTGATGATGACACACCTTTCGATGGTGCGAATCGCTTGGCTGATAAGGTGGATTCTCCTGTTATTTTTGACTTGGAGGACTTAGACAGTGAAACAGATGGATCCAAAGTGGGATATGTTGCCGCACAGCATCCCAAGAGAATTCAGCGAATGAACAGCAGCTTCTCAGTGAAACCTTCTGAAAAAACTGATGTTGCAGCAGGATTTGATCCCCTCTCTCTTTTAGTTGCTGAGACCGAGCAGCAGCAAAAAGACGAGGAAGAGGAGGATGAAGATGATAGTAAAAGCGTGTCAACACCATCTGCAAGGCGTGATTTAGCTGAAGAAATTGTGATGTATATGAATAACATGAGCAGTCCTTTGACAAGTCGAACACCAAGCATTGATTTACAACGGGCCTGTGATGATAAATCTAACAATAAGAAAAGCCCAACACTGGCCAAGGCCTGCAGAAGATGTAGCTTACCTCCTAATTCTCCAAGGCCACCCAGACTCACCAAATCTAAAAGTTACACAAAAAGTGAGGAGAGACCACGGGATAGACTGTGGTCTTCTCCAGCCTTCTCGCCTACTTGCCCTTTTAGAGAAGAATCTCAAGATGCATTAACCCATTCAGCACCTTCGTTTAATTTAGATACACTACTGGTACCTAAATTAGATGTTCTAAGGAATAGTATGTTCACAGCTGGAAAAGGAGTTGCAGAGAAAGCAAGCAAATGGTATTCAAGATTCACCATGTATACCACATCATCCAAGGTAAGTGTCTTCTACATTGATTTGAGCAGCCCTCACCACCACCATTACTAGAGGTCCCTTAACTTGCAAAGATGTAAGCAATAGCCATTCTTGTTAAATACAGCTCTAAGAAAAAAGAAAAAAAAACAGGTACTAGAATATATATGTTTTATAAGTATTATAATTTGAACTAAAATAATAACCTCTAAAGGGGAGAAAATTCCACCTATGTTATATTGAAAGTTCTAATTTGAAACTGTAATAAGAGTTGTTACATAAAAGTGCTTACTAAGTTAAACATTTCCTTCAACACATTCTTTAAAAATAGAGTATCCAGCATGCCTTCAAAATTGACTGGTTAGGCATCTGGTTTCTCTTTCTGATTAGAATAGAATAGCTTCTGGTAGACCTGCCTGCCTCCCTTGAAGAAACATCGAGGTTTATTGCAATGAATAAGGGAAATCCCTCACTAGTCCCTAACCCTTGAACTAGACACACATACGTCTGAGTGCTTGAGTCTGAGTCCTGGCTCTACTCCCATCTCCAGCTTCCCAGTGATGCACACCCTGGGAGACAGCAGATGATGGTTCAAACAGTTGGTGTACTACCACCCATGTTAGAGACCTGCATTGACTTCCTGGCTTCTATCTTTGCTGGCCCAGCCCAACATCAGCCATTATGAGTATCTGAAGAGTAAACCTCCAGATGGGAGATACTCTGTTTTTTTCAAGCTGCTGCTTTTTTTTTTTTTTAATGTATTTGAAAGGCAGAGTTAGAGAGGAGAGACGAACCCAAAGCTTTTTCCAGGTCCCCCAGGTAAGAGCAGGGGCCCACAGACTTGGACCATCTTCCATTATTTCCCAGTCACATTAGCAGGGCACTGGATGAGAAGTGTAGCAGCTGGGATTTGAACAAGGACCCATAGGAGATGCTGGACATCAGTGTCTTAGGTAGAGGCTTGACCTGTTATGCCACAGTGCTGACCCCAGAGATCTCTCTGTCACTCATCTCTCCCTCTATCTGTCTCCCTCCCCAATTCCTCCCTTTACTCCTCTCTGCTTTCCTCCTCTCACCATCTGTTGCTCTGTTTTTGTGCCTTACGAATTGATAAAATTTTAAAAGCAACACATATATACACACAAAACACAGTCTAAACAAAATGAAGTTGATCGCCTGGTAAAACAGAACATTAATATTCTGAAAACAATTTCAAGAGTAACCAGGCTGCATAATATAATATTCAGTGTTCAAGATAAAATCAAAAATTATTTCATGTTAAAGGCCAGAAAAATTTGACCAATTTTTAAGGGAAGTGCAACCCCAAGACAAACAGAGGAATTATTCTACAGAAACTTTGAAGCATCTACTATACTTAGGTTGCTCCAGGGTAAGGAACAGCATACTTGAAATAAAAAGAATTCTCAGTAAGAAGTGGAGACTATTAAAAACAAAATTACTCATTGAAAAAAATACAATATCTAGAATAAATTCATTAGATGATCTCAATAGCCAAGTGGAGATGAAAACAAAAAGAACCAGCTTGAAACTTAACAAAAACCCAGTTTGAAGAACAGAGAGAGAAAAGACTTTTAAAAATGAGCAGAGAGCTCCAGGGATAAATAGAACAATATGAAAAGATATAAATAACATACATAGATGTATATTAAAGTTCCAGAAGAATTGAAGAAAGTGATTGAGGCAGAAAAGGTATTTGGACAGTGACTTAAACTTCTACAAATTTGTTGGAAGAAATAGATGTATAGATACCCAAGATTCAGAAAACCACAGAAAGGATGAACTCAGAGAAAATCACCCCCGCACTTAAAAATAATTTTCTACACAAGAAACTAGAAAAAATAGAAGCAGAGTTCAAAGTAAAAAGGAGAAAATGCTAAAAATAGAGTGGATCAATAAAGCTGGAGAGATAAAATAAGAAAATCGATGAAGCCAGAAGCTGAATCTTTAAAAAGAGCATTAAAATCAACACTCCCCCTGTTAGAGAACTCAAAGAGAATGACAAATCACCAACATCAGAAAGACCCCACAGTGATATTGTTTTCTTCTTTCTCTAAATAGAATTAAGGACTAAAGTGAATAATGTTTTGAAAACCTAATTTTGAACATAGAAAAGGAAAAATAAGTTTCTCCCACTGCCTGCTCAGGACACAGGTCATTTCTGTGATAGCAAAAATGTGTGAAAGTTTATCCCCACCAACAAGCAAGCAGCAGACTCCAGCTGGACATCCTCTCAGTCGGTTCAAGTCTAACTGCAGCTGGAGACTGCATCAGCTCTCACAGGTGGAGAGCTGTCACGTCAGATACCAGGCACAAGCCCAAACTGTCTCACCTGAGCTTCTGGCCCACCAGCTTTGACTAGGGGTTTACACAATCCCTTTTTCAGGCTCAATTCATTTGCTTAAGGAAAATATATTTATTATTGTAAAGAATTATATGATGTATGGGATAAGACGCATAGAAGGGGCTCAGAGCTTCCATGCTCTGTCTAGGCTCACCCTCCAGGAACTTGGCAGGTGTTGTGCTGTCCAGGAACTCTCCATACTCTTTTGGGGGAGGTTTATGGAAAATTCATTGCATAAATAACTAGTGTGGACAGCCATGTAGAAATGTAACTGGACAAAAATTATATGGCCTGCTGAGAGGTTGAGAGAGACTGGTCTCTTCAGCATCCCTTCCTCCCAGAGATGGGGCAGAGACAACTCTGAAATGGGGATCTGATGATCAGTCAGCCAATATAGGTCAGCCAGTTCCTTTCAGACCAGCTCCGAGAGCAAAGGGCAGGATAAAATTATAGTTTTTGTTTCTTGACCAGGACTAGGGGAGAGAAATTCTAGTCTGTTTAAAAAAGAGTTGTTTATTTGAAAGAGTAGCAGAAGAAGAAAAAGAGACCTTTCATCTGGTTCACTCCCCAAATACCCACAGCATCTGAGACAGGGACAGACTGAAACCAGGATCCCAGAACTCCATTAGGGCCTCCTACTTCAGCAACAAGGACTCAACTACTTGTGGTCTTCCAGGCACATTAATAGGAATCTGAATCAGAAGTGGAATGTCAGGACCAGGGCTATGGCATAGCACCAACATCCCACCAGTTTCAGTCCCAGCTGTTCCACATCTGATACAGCTCCCCGCTAAGGTACCTAGGAAAGCAGTGGAGGATGGTCCAGGTGCCTCTACCACCCACATTGGAGACCCAGGAGAAGCTCTGGGCTCCTGGCTTCAGGCTGGCACAGCTCCAGCTTTACAGCCATGCGGGGAGTGAACCAGGAGATGGAAGATTTCTTTCTCTGCTTCCTCCTCTGTTTCTATCCGTTCCCTACCTTCTGCCTTTCAAAACAAAACAAAACAAGACAAAGCAAAAAAAGTGGATTATCCAGGACTCAACCTGACACTGTGGTGAGCATGCTGCATCACAATGCCAGTCCCGCTAAAAGAGCCTCAAGGAAGAAAAGGGAACGGATGAAAAGAGACAAGAAGGTCAGTTTTTTGTTGTTGTTGTTTTTTTAACTTTCTGAGGCCAAAAGGTCCCCAATATTATAGCAAAAGACTATATTTCACTTTTAATGCTTTGGAGTAATTCAGAAATTAACAAGAACTATAGAAGTTATGATCCAGGAACTGTGGATGAAAACCTGCAATGTATATAATGTCAGACTGGTCCACTATTTAACCCATTAAAGGAAGCTGTTATTACTATTACAATTAAGGAATTATATATTGTCATTTAAATGTTTATGTCTAAAGAATTTAATGTCTCATTGTAAGTGCATTTTTTTTAAGAAGTAGCAATAAGAGTGCTGGTTCAGGGCACTAAAATACACATCTGTCTTCCTTTCTCCAAATCCCTTTTAAGTAACTGAAAAATACAAGAATATAATAACTCTGTATTCGTGAAGTTACAAAAGCATGCCTTCAGTATGTCAGCAATTTTCAGGCTTTTCTGGAAATTAGAAAGCAAATAAGATTGGATGGATAGACATACCTGAAAGCGTGGTCTCTGAAGTAGTAGGTTCAGCTACCACCCACGTGAGAGACTCAGAGGGAACTCCTGGCTCCCTGCTTCCGATTAGCCCAGCTCTGGCCATTGTGACCATCTGAGAAGTGGATCAGTGGGTAGATTGCCCTTCTTCTAACTCTTTCAAATAAAATAAATAGATTTTTAAAGAAAATTAATTCCAAGTCTACCAACTAATGCACTGGAATGGAGCAAAATCCAGAAACGAAGCTGAACGTACACAGAAGTTTGGGATGGAAGAAGATTCTATTTCAAATCAGTGGTGAACAAACAAATCTTAAGTCAATGTGTAGACTAATTAGCTACTAATTAGGAGAGAAGGTAGATTCTTGTGTTATATTTCAAAAGTAAACCCTTGAGGAATTAAAAATCTAAGCTAAATGATAAAGACACAAAGGATGGCTTTTAAAACATTTTTTGGAGTGAATAAAATATACAAATCCTGAATCCTATAAATGCAAAAAAAAAATTACTGCATAACAGCCCTTAGTAATTAAAAATAATAGTAATACACAATTGGGGAAAAATAGTTGTGTAACGGAAGTGTCTAAAAATGCTTTTCATAAGAAATTGTATATCAGAGTTTCTTATATAATCTTAATATAGCTATAAAACAATTATTTTAGCGTTCTTACAAGTCAAAGTTACAAATAATATCTGAAATCTAGATTTTTATGGAAAAGAGTGAAGGTAAAATTCTAATGGTGTCATCTTGAACTGGTGTTTATAGGAAGAAAATGAAATGAGTCAAAACAAGCTTTCCTTACTAGTGGGATATATATTTGACTGGAATTTTAAAATTATTTTTTAAATGCTGATTTCTAGTATATTTCTCCAAGTGACTAGACCTCTGTAAAATTAGTTGGATTTATTTGTTAACTGATGACCACAGCAGTAGTTGGGTAATAAGTGTTTTCCTCTGCCTGACAAGTGGACTTTTTAAATCATTCTTAATGTGAAGGAAATTAAGCTTACAATTATGTCCTTAGGATCAAAGTTCTGATCGTACCAGTCTTTCTTCAGTGGGAGCCCAGGATTCTGAATCTACCTCTTTGACAGATGAAGAGGTCGGCCGCGAGCTGGAAGGAGCCTCTTCCTCCCAAGAGAGCAGTGCCACGTCAGGGACCAAGGGAACTGAGCTCAGCCGAACAAGCCTGGGAAGCTCTGCCTCCTTAGAAGGTTTGTGCAAACAGTTCTGCTGACTGCACTCAATTTAGAGTATATTTATTTCGTTGCTTTATTATTTAATTTTGTGAAAGTTGTTGCATGGCCTTAAAGTTAAAAGAAGGTCCTTTTGGAGGTGACTTCCGCTCTCATCTTCACTCCATCCTATTTTCCACTTGTTCCCAGAGATGACTTTTTATTTGTTTTTGGTTTATCTTTACAATGTTGCTTTTAAAAGGGTGGGGGCATTTATGAACTCATATTCCTGTTACCTTCTGTCTTCTTGCTCTGAAAGTAGCATACTATAAACTGTTTCTCACATACTGCTGTTTTTCACTTAATTACGTGTCGGGGGAGGGCAGTGTGCTAAGTGCAGGTCAAGTTCAGGCTGCTGTACTTCTAATGCAACTTCCTGGAAAGGCAGAGACACTGGCCCAAGTAATAGGACTCCTGCTACCCATGGGGGAGACGAAGATGGGGTTGCTAGCTCCTCCCTTCAGCCTGGCCCTTTCCTGGCTGTTTTAGACACCAGGGAAGGGAACCAGCAGAAGGAAAACTCTCTCTCTCTCTCTTTCTGGCTCTCTCTGTGTCCCTCTCCTTTTCTTTCTTCCTCCAAACCTCTCTTCCTCTCCGTGACACACTGCCTTCCAGATAGTTCTTTTAAAAAAGAAAAAAGATTTATTTATTTTATTGGAAAGGCAGATGTACAGAGAGAAGGAGAGACAGAGAGGAAGATCCTATGTCCGATGATTCACTCCCCAAGTGACCGCAGTGGCCATTGCTGAACCAATCTGATGCCAGGAGTTCAAAGCTCTTCTAGATCTTCTATGAGGGTGCAGGGTCCCAAGGCTTTGGCCCATCCTCGACTGCTTTCTCAGGCCACGAGCAGGGAGCTGGATGGGAAGCAGGGTCGCCGGGATTAGAACTGGCGCCCAAATGGGACCCTGGCACATTCAAGGTGAGGACCTTAACCATTGCATTGTCGCGCCTGGGCCAGATAGTCCTTATCCTAAAGATCACTCCATATCATCACAGAATAATCCGTGATCCTCATTATTTTTTTAAAAAAAAGGATTTATTTGTGTATTTGAAAGAGTTACAGAAAGAAATCTTCCATCCATTGGCTTACTCCCTAGATGCCATACAGCTACAATGGGCCTAGGAACCAAAAGCTTCATCCAGGTCTCCCATGTGAGTAGCAAGGACCCAGACACTTGGGCCACCTTCGGCTGTATTCTCCAGGCCACTAGCAGAGAGCTGGATTCAAAGTAGAGCAGCTGGGACACCAACCAGCACCCATGTGGAATGCTAGAATTGCAGGCGGCAGCTTGCACACTGCAACATCAACCATTTTTCCGCCTCATTTGTTGCGTCTGCATAATTCACCTTGGGTACCTGTATCGCACTTGATTTTAACCACTTCTGTATCAGTGGACATCAAGTGTCCAGGCTTTGTAGTCCTCCAATATGTATATACCATACTTTATTTGTTCTAGCATACCTTTGGAAGATACTTCACAATACTTTCTCAGAGTGATGAAGCCAGTTTCTTTCCTCAGCTGTTTCATTTTGCATTCCTACTATTAGTATATGAGAGTAACTGTTTCCCCAGAGCCTCGTCAACGCAGTATGTCAGAAAATGTTTGTGTCATATGATAGGTGAGGAAAATATTCAGATTTATTTTCATTTTTTCTTTTGTGAAGATCAAATTGATGACCTATTTATATGTTTAAGGATTTTTCATTTCTCCTTGCTTACATCTTGCTCGATTAGTCTTTTGGGGCTGGGAACAGCAGGTTGGGAGGAGCATACTCCCATCCTCTGGTTTACTTCCCAAACGCCTGGAAGGCAGGAACTCCATCCATGTCTTTCATATGAGTGACAGCCCAGCACCTTGTACCGTAACCCGCTGCCTCGCAGGATGCACTGTGGCCAAAAGCTGAAACTGGAAGTTAAGCTGGGCCTCAACCCTGGGCACCCAGGGCACACGCAGGCATCCCAGGTGAGGTCTGATCTGCTGTGCCAGAAACCTACTTCTTCCGGTTTCTTTATGTGATATTATTCTCTTCATGTTAGGAAATCAATCTTCTGTTTCAAATAAGTTTCAGATACTATATTTTGCCACGGTTTGGCAGTTTGTTCTATTTTGGTGTTTTAGTTTTATGTCATCTTTCCCCTTTGGACTTCCTTATCTTGAGTTGTTGAGTTTCCATTTCAAAGGGTTTCTAGTCCATTTTGTTTTCTTTATAAGACTACTTAAAATTAATTATTTATTTGAAAGGCAGAGGACCAGAGACAGAGTGAGAGATTTGCCTTCCACTGGTCTGCACTCCAGACATCCACAGCAGCCTGGCTGGTCAGCCTGAGGCCCACACGGTGGCAGGGAGCTCAGGACCTGAGCCATCACCTGCTATCCCTGTGGTGGTGCTGAATGTTTTCCTATCCCCTTTGTTTCTTATTAACTGGTAGTTTCTATCATTTTTAAATATTTATATTTTTAAAAAATACATCGATATTCATTCATAAAATTTGGTGATGAAATAGAAACAATGTATAGAAAAGACTTAGGGGCCTGGCACGGTGGCGCAGTGGTTAAGGTCCTCGCCTTGCACGCCCGGGATCCCATATGGGCGCCGGTTCTATCCTGGCAGCCCCGCTTCCCTTCCAGCTCCCTGCCTGTGGCCTGGGAAGGCAGTCGAGGACGGCCCAAAGCTTTGGGACCCTGCACCCGCGCGGGAGACCCAGAAGAGGCTCCTGGCTTCTGATCGGCATAGCATCGGCCCGTTGTGCTCACTTGGGGAATGAATCATCGGACGGATCTTCCTCTCTGTCTCTCTTCTCTGTATATTTGCCTTTCCAATAAAAAAATAATAAAAAGAAATCTTTAAAAAAGAAAAAGAAAAGATTTAGATCACCTCCAGTTTTACTAACAAGATACAGCCACTGTTGACATGGACAATGGAACTGACCACAGGCTTGCTTGCTTTTTTCTTGTGTTTTAATACCTATAATATCTCATTGCTCTTAAAAATATGCCCGAGAGGGCCCAGTGCAATAGCCTAGTGGCTAAATCCTTGCCTTGCGAGCACTGGGATCCCATATGGGCACCAGTTCGTGTCCCAATGCTCCACTTCCAGCTCCCTGCTTGTATCCTGGAAAAACAGTCAAAAATGGCCCAAAGCCTTGGGACCCTGCACCTACATGGGAGACCCAGTAGAAGCTCCTGGCTCCTGGCTTGGGATCGGCTCAGTTCCAGCCATTGCAGCCACTTGGGTAGTCAATCAGCAGACAGAAGATCGTACCTCTCTCTTCTCCTGAGAACTCTTCCCAGTTTTTTAAATGCAAGATTATTCTACCAGTTCTTTAAGGATTCTTGTAAGTCGGGGAATTGTCACTACATCCTGTTGTGATTTGAAATAGATTAATTTTTTTGATTATTTAATATGTTTAGACCTTGGAACAGTGCTTATAGATTGGAAAAAGGGAATAGGTAACTGTAATTATGAACAACTGGCATGCTGTCTAGCCTGCACACAGAAGGTGCTTAATATGCCAGACTGTGAGAATTGGTAGAAATAGAGCATATTTTGTCCTCAAAACAAAAATGCCTGTGCTGAAAACTTGCTATTTACTTATTTCTAAATTGCCATTCATATTTTTCATAGAACGGGTTACTTTTTTATCAGTGAACATATGGAAATGAAAGATTCTTATATCTTTTCTCATTAATTTTAATGATTTTGTCCTTTGCTTTTCAATAATGAACAGGATCCCTGTCAAAATTTGCTTTACCTGGGAAGTCAGAAGTAACATCTTCATTCAACATGAGTAATACCAGTCTCTTCCAGAACTATGCAATGGAGGTATGGTTCTACTCAAACAGGCATTTTCTTGTACTGTGTTATAAATGTTTCATTTAGGTATTGATGGTCCCTAGAGTAATACTTTTTTTAATTGCATATTCATTTATTTATTTATTGCAAAGTTAGATATGTAGAGAGAGGAAGAGAGACAGAGAGGAAGATCTTCCGTCCAATGATTCACTCCCCAAGTGACTGCAATTGCCAGTGCTGAGCCGATCTGATGCCAGGAGCCAGGAGCTTTTTCTGGATCTCCCATACAAGTACAGGTTCCCCAGGCTTTGGGCCATCCTTGACTGCTTTCCCAGGTCACAAGCAGGGAGCTAGATGGGAAGTGGGGTCACCAGGATTGGAACCGGCGTCCAAATGGGATCCTGGCACGTTCAAGAAGACTTTAGCCTCTAGGCCATCACGCCAGACCCTAGAGTAATACTTGTTTAAAAAATGTATGTGTAGCTCTAAAATTTCAGAATGTTTTATCACATCTAAATCAAGTTAAGATGGAGTTTTTAGATATGTATTATTTCAGGTTGTTAGTCATACTACTTCCTCTCTCAGAACAGTCCCATGCTTACTTAAGGAGTCATCTACATATAAAAGCATTTTCTCTTTTCACCATTTGTAGTTACTCCTTGTTGCATGTAAATTCTCTTTGAATGTTTGTTTCATACACTAAACAACTCGTTTTGCTATGCAAACAGTCCTTTTTTGGTGAGCAATTTCTTCTATTATATTTTTCATTCTCTATGAGTTAGATGGGCGGACTTCCATAAGCGTATCCCATTTTCTTACAGTGAAAAAGTTATGCTTTTATACTTTAAAAATTTTCTGTAAAAATTGCTTTCAGAAACATTTGTGAGTATCGTTGCTAATTCATACTAATTTGCATAAATATGGAAAATAAATTGGCATATAGCTGGAAAAAAGTGAACAGTGACGTTGCAGTTTATACAGTTCGTGGTGGCAGGGCCGGTGTCATGGCTCAACTGGTTGATCCTCTGCCTGCAAGCGCCGGCATCCCATATAAGCACCCATTTGTGTCCTGGCTGCTCTGCCTCCCACCCTGTTTATGGCATAGGAAAGCAGTAAAGGATAGCCGGAAGTCTTAGGACACTATACCTGCGTTGGAGACCTGGAAGAGGCTCTTGGCTTTGGAGCAAGTCAGCTCTGGCTGTTGCGGCCATGTGGGGAGTGAACATGAGGATGGAGGATCTTTCTCTGTGTATCTACCTTTCCAATAAAAAATAAATCTTAAAAAAATATTTAAAAACAGTTTTTGGTGGCTTAAAAATGTCTTATTACTATAATGCTGTAGTGACAGCATTTACAGTTCTCTATAATGGTTCTTTAAAATAAAAAGATTTCTTTATTAAGGCAGAATTATAGAGAAAGAAGAAGAGAGAGATCTTCCATCTGTCCCACTCCCAAGATGGCTGCAACAGCTGGGGCTGGGCAAGGTTGAAACCAGGAACTTCTTCAGGTCTCCCATATGGGAGGCAGGGGCCCAAGCACTTGGGCCAGCTTCTGCCCCATTTCCCAATCCATTAGCAGGGAGCTGGAACAAAGTGGAGCAGCCAGGACACAGACTGGCACCCACAGAGGATGCCAGCTGCACAGGCAGGCAGTGGCTTTACCCACTATGCCACAATGCTGGGCCCTACATTGACTTTAAAAAAAAAAAAAAAAAGGTGAATGAATGTGAGCAGCAGAGGGACAGAAAGAGGAAGAGACAAGGAAGACAGAGATCCTCTGTTGGCCAGTTCACTCCCCAGATAGAAACAAAAGCCAGAACTCTGGGTCTCCCACAGAGTGACAGAAGCCCAAGCACTTGAACCATAGTCTGCTGCCTTCCCAGGCACATGAGGAGGATGCTGGCTCAGGACAGAAGAGCCAGGACTTGAACTGACACTCCAGTGTGTGATGTTGGGGTCACGGGCAGCAGCCTGACTTGCTGCACCACAGTGCTGACCCCACAGCAATGGGTCTGGATCTGTCGGAAGTGAGAGACCAGAGCTTTTTTTGTCTGTTTAATTTTTCTTTACTTTTTCTTTTTTAGCTAACATTGTTGTATACAATTAGATGTTATAGCAATGTCAAAGAATTTCAGCGGTTTCTAAAATCTTAATTTATTTAGCCCATCATGAAGTCATAGGAATCTATGTCCCATCATGGGTATGGTAACCATCCTTTGTGTAACACTGATCCATAATATATAAATGATTGTAAGTGCTTATTCTGACTGTTAACAAATTAATGCTGGAGTTTAGTCTTGCCTTAGTAAAACCCCAGCACACATGTTGTAATGAAACTGGAGGCAGCGCTCACGTACATGCAAGTTTCTCTTCCAGGCCAAAATTGGGGAAGAGATTCAGCTGAGATGGCAGCGGCGCATATAGTAAATCCATTTTTTGTCAGTATAATTTCTATATCCTGCTGTGCTTTAGTTTTTCAATAAATCTGTGAAATGGTATTTAATTCATGATGTACACTAACCAGCTGACTTTCTAAAGTGCCATGTTGTCCCACAGGTTCTCATCTCAAGTTGTTCTCGGTGTAGAACTTGTGATTGTCTTGTACATGATGAGGAAATCATGGCCGGCTGGACAGCAGATGATTCAAATCTCAATACCACATGCCCGTTCTGTGGTAACCTTTTCCTACCCTTTCTGAATATTGAAATCAGAGACTTAAGACGACCTGGGAGGTAATATTATAAGTGTTTTACCCCTTATGTAAGTGTCTTGTTTCCTGGAATATTTTTTTTCTCAAAGGGCTTTTTTGATTCACATTACAGGTACTTTTTGAAGTCAAGTCCATCTACAGAAAATATTCGTTTTCCATCCTCCTTTTCAAGCCAAACAAGGCAGTCTTGCCTTTCAACATCAGCCTCCGGTCTTGACACATCCACTATCTCTGTTCAAGGACATTTTGACCTAAACAGGTAGTTGGAATTAAGTAGAGCAGCATACATTACACATCTTTTAGATGTATGATAAATTTCTATAAAAAATAATTTGTGATCTTAAATTTGTTCACCTAATTGAAACAATATTAAAGCTAATACTCTGGATAATTAAGTATAAACAGTTACATGCTAAGTTTTATGAATCCCCAGAGTTTAAGTTGTATGTTTACATGTTAAATTTGGATCTTAAAGTATTAAATTAGTATCTTAAAGACTGAAAAAATTTATAGAACACTTGAAGTTTATAATGATCATCTTTCTTATATTACTTTCTTGGAGAATTAAGTTAATGTTAATTCATGCTTTGGAACATTTAATACTAAACTAAGACTTACCCAGCAAGCCTAACATAAGTAAACGCATGCTTAAATGCAAAACTTGTCTCTGTTTTGCAGAAGTGCCAAATGGACCACATTTGGCTGGAGAGGAGGCACATTATTGGCAGCTCTCTGTGTTAAAGAAATGCTCATATAGCATCAGCAGGCCACACCTTTGTGGTCCTAAATAACTAATCCAGAAAACCACCCGCACCTTCTCTCCTCCAAGTTCTCCTGCAGCCCTTGTCTTTGGCTTTTTATGGCCTGCTGACTCCTGAAGGACTGTGTGCCCCTTCTCTCTGCTTCCTATTTCTAGGGCCTGGTGTGGTTCCTTCGATGTAACAGTTGTCCACCAATTGTTTTTGAATAAGTGAATGAATCTTGACTACTTGAAGTTCCCTTGATAAAAAGGATAGATGACATGACTACACATCTTAAAACTATATCTTATTCCAATAAGATTCTCAGTCTTATTGAGTAGCACATTTCTTTCAATTATTTTGCTGTCTCTAGTTCTGATTCTACAGAGAGCATAGTTGAAATGAAGTGTATGTAGACACTGATGTGCTTTTTCCTTTTTTCAACACTGAAGCAAATCTAAACTGCAGGAAAACTCCTGTGCCCGAAGTATTCAGATCCCTGCTGACAGATCAAAGGCAACTGTGTCAAAATGCCCAGTCTTTCCAATGGCCCGAAGTATCAGTGCCTGCAGCCCCTTGGACAAGGAGGAGGCTGGTGGGCAGAAGCTCATTCCCACAGGCAGCCTGCCGGCTACTTTACAAGAAGCCACAGTATGTATTTTCATACATTTTTTAAATTTGGAAATAGATCCTCTAAATAATTTTGCTCCCCTTATCCTAAAAAACCCTTATTAGCTTCAATTTTATTAGTGTCTAGAAGATTGCCTCTTCTATGTTGTAATCATATTACCTTGAATATCGTTGATGGGAATTTTTATAAACTGGTTTCATAACATCAGCCTTATATTTGCCATTTATGGCTTTTCCTTATTCACAGGATTCTTTAGGATTAGAATGGCACCTGCCCAGCCCAGATCCTGTCACTGTTCCATATCTTAGTCCTCTAGTGGTCTGGAAGGAACTAGAAAGCTTATTGGAAAATGAAGGCGATCATGCCATAACAGTGGCCGACTTTGTGGACCATCATCCGATTGTGTTTTGGAACCTGGTGTGGTATTTTAGACGTCTTGACTTGCCCAGCAACTTACCTGGATTGATTCTTTCTTCTGAGCATTGTAACAAGTATTCAAAGGTAAAAGGCTCCAAAGTAACTCTAAGGCCGTTCTGCTGTCACCAATGTAATGTTTGCACAGCCCTCATGATAAAGTAAGGTTTGTTTCAATGACTATCAAAATCATTACACAAATAGAATTGTTGCATTTACAATTGATTTTTTTCTTCTTACTATCTAGAGGTACAACAAAATCAGTTGCTTTTGAAACCTTCAAAGATTTACACAGAATATGTTTGAGTCTTTGTTATATTCAAAAATAAATCAAGAATGACTCTTAAGAGTTTGTGAATTGACCCCATTCCTGCCATGCAAGCCTAACCCTTTTTTAGGAGGCTATAATTGATTCTCTTCATTTCTTTACTCTGAAAATTTACTTGAAATTCAATTAGTTAGGTTGATATATGTTCATTTGTAATTTTACTTTGTTCCAGGAGAGTCTCTACATTTTCATATGTGGCACCGCCACTAAATGGCAGTCTCTATGTTCAGGAACTTTGTGTTCTCCCTTCTTATACTTCATGTCCATAACTATACACAGAGTTTGGATTTTTAGCACAGCACAAATAAGTGACAAAAATGTTAACTCACAGTTGTCTGGGCGAGGCTGTTGGACTGATGTGGGGTGGGATTGCTGGTTCATCTTTCTCTGGACTCAAACATGAGCAGGACAAGACGGGCCCTTCATGGCACTCTTTCTCACTCATCGCAGTTATCTTGTTAAATCTCCTTTCACTGACTTCTCAACTCTGCTGATTGTCCTGTAGTAGATATCATACGCATCTAAATAGGTCATGCTGTTTTCTTGTCTGTCTTATACACAAACATATTTAAGAATTCGTAAGGACTATATAAAATATTTCCCAAAAAATAGTCATGTAAAGATCATTAATGGAAGTTTGTTTATTCTACAACGCAGATTCCCCGCCACTGTATGTCTGAAGACAGCAAGCATGTTTTAATACAGATGTTATGGGACAATATGAAATTACATCAGGACCCAGGACAGCCCTTGTACATCCTCTGGAATGCCCACAGTAAGTGCTGTCAGGAAGCAGCTGCTTCCTTCCAGTGCGATCTCGGCTTGCTTTCAATAACCAAACTATCCAAGACTGACTTCCACTCTACTACTTTTTGTCTTACAGGTCAAAATCGCACTCTTTTGTTTGAGAGTGAGTGTTAATTTTTTTTTTTAGTGGTACCTCTTATGGAGGTTAAGGTGATTGGGGGTTTTAGGGTTTTAGTTTCACTTTTATTTTGTTTTATTTTGTTTAAGGGCTGCTATGTGTGTGCTGCAGGGGTTGAGTGTGTTCTGTGGAGTTCAGCTTTTCAGCACATTGTCCCAATTCTTGTTACTTATTTATTTAATTCCATCTCAGGCTGTTGATGTGGAATTTCCTTCAGGGTTTTTATTAAAGGAAACAGTATTTTTAGTTATTGTCTGTTTGAGACTACAGAAAGCCTGGGATCTATTTTGGTGGTTGTTTGTCTTTTTTTTTTTCTCCTTTCTGGCTCTCTTCATTCTTATATTTCTGTTCCTTTATATGTTGCCGTTAATTTAGTTTCAGTGCTCCGTTGCTTCTGCAGTAACTGTCCATTGCGCTGTGATTTCTTTCTCCTTTTTGCACAGAAAACTCTTTTCATTGGCTCTTTTCTTGTTTTCACAGCCCAAAAGTATCCCATGGTCCATTTATTGCAAAAGACTGATAGCTCATTTAGCCAAGAGCTGTTGAAAAATATAGTTAAAAGCATTAAAATGAATGATGTCTATGGACCAATGAGTCAGATTTTGGAGACACTGAATAAGTGTCCACACTTTAAAAGACAGAGGTAAGTCATCCCCATAAGTGAATATATTGTTCTTCTCTTGTTCCTCTATTGCATGCTTAGTAATTTTTTATTGTATCTTTTACTTCTGTTAACATAAAAACTTCTAGGCACATATAGACTAAATGAGTATTAATTTTTTTCTGCATATCTTCCCCTACCCCAGGAGTTTATACAGAGAAATACTGTTTCTGTCACTTGTGGCCCTGGGAAGAGAAAACATCGACATAGGTAATTTATCATAATACATAATGTTTAATGTTTGCATGTCAGTATATTTTCAGTGTTTTTACATTGGTAGCCTTTGTTATTGATTTATTAGAAGAGTTATTACTTTGTGCCTTTTTTGTTTTTCTGTAGTATTAAAGGTACTTTACATTATGATCATGATAATAATATAATAATAATGATGTTATGATGATGATGATGATGATAAATAATGATAAATAATATCTAACTAGTCTACCAGTTGCCTCAAACTGTAGCAAGTTCTTTCCACATATCATGTCCTAACGTTTTCTCCCAAAAGTCTTACTTATGACATTTTTACCATTGTCTTTTTCATATTATTAAGAATACAGAAGGTCAGAGAGGTTCAATAAACTCATTTGTTTCACAATAATAACAGAGCCATCTTTGAACCAAGCAGTCTTTTCAATCCCATGCTTTAAGCTATTTGTTTATGCTACTAACGACTTTAAGGTTATTCATAAAGAATGTAATAGAGGCAGGCAGTTGGCAGAAATGTTAAAGTGCAGCTGGCAACACTGCGTTCCATATTGGAGTACCTGGGTTTGAGCCTCTGCTTCACTTGCAGTCTAGCTTCTTGCTCATGTACGCCCTGGGAGACAGCATTCGATGGCTTCTGTTGGGGTCCCTGGCACCCGTGTCGCAGCATGGAGGCTCCTGACGTTAGCCTGGGCAGCGCCATCTGTTGCAGGCGTTTGGGCAGTGAACCAGCAGATGAAAGATCTCTGCATCACTGTCACTCTGCCTTTCAAATAAGTAAAGGTTTTTGGGGGAAAAAAATATGAGATAGCTCAATATGTATTTTAGAAGTTTCCAGACTTCTGGTTGGTCACCTGCTTCTCTCAGTGATTGTGATGCTTGACCTCTTTTAAATTTTCATTTGCAGTTTCTTGTAGGTTCCCATTTCTGGGTCCTAAGAAAAAGGAGTTATAGCCCATTGGTAGGCAATAAGGAGAAAATTAGAGTTAGACTGAATTTAGAGAACTACTAGCTAGCAAAGACTTGGGTAGAGTTATGACCTACTTTTTGAGAATTTGTGATTCAGTGAAGAGGTTTATGAATGTAAAAATTCATCCATAAAACTCTTCTAATTTGTGTGGTATCTACTATGAGTGCCTTGCTTAATTAACTCCACTCACTGGTTCATCAGAGAGTACATATGGCTCATTCTTCTCTTAGGTGATTTATTGCTGACCTTAAGAAAAACAAGTCTAAATTCTTCAGCATCAGCACTTCCGCTGACTTTTTAAGAGATACAGCCATTTATTAGTGGCATCAGAGTCACAATGATGATGCTTAATAAACATATGCACTTTTACAAGTTATTCAGACCAGGTGAAGCCTGGTTGGAAAGCCAGGGCTCTCTGTGTGCTGGCTTCCTGGCAGTTCCACTCTGGGCTGAGTGACAGAGCAGTGAGCGGTGAGTCCAGGGCTGGCCATCCCCCGCTGGGCATCTACGGTGCCCTCTGACCATAGGTGACGCTCACCACTGGGAATTGTCACCTTTAGGCCAGAAGAAAGATGACAGCATCTGTGAGCCAAGGAGAATGTGAGTGATGTGGCAAGCACTGCTGGGTGTGACATTAACTGAAACAAGCACTTGAAGCACAACACTAATTTAGTTAGAAAGGAAATAAATCTGCTCATATAGAAGACAGTGGTGGGAAATTGGCTTATAACAAAATGGCTTTAAAGGATTTAGCTATTCAACACAAGCCAATATAGGTTATTATCTTTGTTTTAAAACAATAAGAAAGTATGACCCAGAGAATACTGTACTTGGAATTCACCTTAATTGCTCACCACTTATTTGAAGTAAAACAGAAAATTTTAGGAAGTTCAGGAAAAAAGTACAAATCATTTAGAGTTAAGGAATATTCGATAGCAAGCACTAGAGGAAATGTAGCTGTGTGTACCTATAAATTTGTACGAGTACTGTATGAATGTGTTGAGCTGCTTTCCAACTAGAAAAAGGAAAAAGAAGCGATTCAAATTGCAATGAGGGGATTTTAAGCAGAATGGTAATATTTGTGTTTTGCTAAAATGGTTGTAAAACACTGGAAACTACTAAAAATAAGACATTTCAAAATAGTTCCTGCAAGGCTACTATGGTAAATATTTTGCAGGAATAAGTAAGAATCAAAGAGATATAATAAAAGAAATGATAAGAAAATTAAAAGGGCATGCTAGAAAATATCTAGTAAACGTAAAGTAATGGGGGGGGGCCATAATAGCTCTTCAAAAAGTGCATTGGAAAATGCTGTGTTCCCCTGCAGTCCCATAGAAAACCATGTATGAAATGGACCTTTAGCCCAGCTCTTGGGGACACTGTTACTACACAGGGAGTTGCCTGGGGTTGACACCTGGCTCTGGCCTGTGACTCCAGCTTCCTGTTAACTCAGTTTGTCTATCTCTTTCTAGTAAGTGTTGAAAAATAAGTCAAATTTAGCAATGGGAAACTATTAGGTTTCATTGATCTGTCTGTTGTGGACTTGAAATTTGTGATCATTTAGACAGCGGAAGTGTCTTAAAGATTTCTTCTTTAAGAAGAAGAAATCATTTTGTGAGCCCGTCACATCACAAAACCATGATTGTTGTCAGCATCACACTTATTTTTCTTTGCGCCTTTCTTTCTAAATATCTGCAGATGCATTTGATAAGGAGTACAAGATGGCCTATGACCGTCTGACACCGAGCCAAGTCAAGAGTACACACAACTGTGACAGACCACCGAGTACAGGGGTGATGGAGTGTCGGAAAACCTTCGGAGAACCTTATCTCTGAGCTGTGTGTGCAGGTGTAAACATTTGCTACATGTTGTACAGTTGGTGTATAAAGCAACGCTTTTAGACTCTAAACCTTTCTCTTCCATTTTTGAGAATGCTTTTGTAAATGCTCTGGAAGGCTCAGGTAGTTTCTGTACAGAATGCTGTGAGAACAGTGACCAATAAGGAGAGAGCCACTTTTTTCCCGGTTCTTTTTTTTTTTCTTACCTTTTATCTCTCCTGTAATAAAGAATTAAGTATTTTTGTGCTGAGGAAATCCCTAAATGAAACTAGTTGCCATAAAATAATAAGACAGCTGTATTATGGTTTCTCTTAAAGCAGGTGGGGAAAAAAAAAATCATGTATGGAACTCGACAGAAATGTTAAGACCGGAGTGTCTCCTGTTTTCATAGCCCATTAAGATATTTTGACCATGAAGTTGTATTATACATATTTTAAATTGTTTATAGTAAGTTGATATTTTTTTAATTTTTAAATTTAATATAGCAAAGTTAAAATGAATTTAAGCTGATGAAGCATTTAGTTTCCTTGTCGGCTTCTCTTCGGAGTGATCCGTACAGCTGCAGATCTCTGTATGTGCGTACGTTTGTCTCGCTATGTATCTTTTACGACTTGGCAGAGTGAGCTTTCCAGTGTCAGGCCTGGTGTCAGCATGGCTCGGGGACCGCCTGCCTGCAGCGAGTCGTGGCAGGGTCAGTGTGCACCGGCCACCCGACGCGTTGAGCCCAGGGAGAGGAGAGCCAGAGAGGTATCCTAGGCCGTGGCTACAGAATCCTCTCGGTGGCTCATGAAAACACACCACACACAGCAAAAAGAACAGCCTCCAAACCCAAATGACAGTGGAAACATGAATATTCTGCACAAAATTCTACACTGGGAAGTAAGACAGTTGGCTCTACTCCAGCTTTTACGCTTGCTTTGATGTCTAAAATACTGGGTGTGACACAACTTGTACTATAGAATATTTATCTGAAATATAACAGACTCTGGAGTGTTCTGTTAATAGTATATATAAATATTAAAATATTTTTTTCAATGAGAGCCCTCTAAAAGTATATAACCAGATGGAATTTCCCATATTGAGGAACTTAGATATTTTTTAACAGACTTCAGTATCTGAAGTTTGTAAGAATCTGAATACAGGAACATCCAGAAATCAGATAATAAATTGAATGTTTAAACATCATGGGTATTAAACATTTCTTTAAAAATTTTAGTTGCATCACTTCTAATCACTTTCTTTGGGTAATTTCTGAGAAAGGAAATGCATCGCTTGGCCGTTGGAGTTATTTATACATTTTCAGTGTGTGTGTGTGTTAATGTACACAGTGTCACTAACGGAGGTATTCTCTAGCCAGTTTTAAAGACAGAAAAAAATTAGTAGCTTCAAGTTCAGCCTGTAAGCCAGTTTGAGTCCACAGCTTTTTAGACTGGAGACACAAGGGAGTCCTGAAACTTAAAATCAGGTCATCTGCCAAAAAAAAAAAAAAAAAAAAAAAAACCACTTTTGAGTTCACACTATTAGTGAATAGCACCCAGCTGAAACATTGCACAGCTTTCTACTCTGGGAAATAATAGAGAGTTGAACAATGTAAAACTTCAATTCAGTTGGGACTGAACTTGCTTACTTGAAAATTCTGGTGCTATGCACACGTCTGCCTCCCCCGTGTACGTATGGTACCCCTCCAGTCTGCTTCCTCTTCCCTCATCTGACCCAAGCCACACGTGTCATTCATTCTCCTGTTCTCTGAGTCATTTGACTGTGATCAACTGAGAGAAAGATTGTTAGGGGACCATTTAGCATTGACCATAAAAATGCCTCCAAATGGGATTCTGGGGTTCTCTTCTAATTTTGGGTTGTTGTTTATTTTTTATTCTCATAGACAGCTTGCACTGTTGTTTACTTTTTCTAAAACACAAATACTATGTAGAAGTCATAGTTTATTTGAAATGTGTGTCGAAGAGCGAGACAACGCTCATCGTTTATGCTCAGAATCATTTGGAACAATGATTGTGTCTTCCCTCACCCTGAATTTTGCTTGGATAGGATCATATTTCCCATATTTTTAATCACCAAGGAATAGATCTTTAATCCTAAACCATGCACAGAAACTGATAAATCCTTCCCAAGAGAAAATTAAAACCCAATTCATCTTTTTCTTAAAATGAGTCTGTGCAAACATTTCTTCAATTTTTCTATTGAATGGACACTTGAGAAAATCTCGGCCACCTGTGTTAGCAAGAAATACTTTGTTGCTTTGTTGTCTAGCTCTTATTTTCGTGCTGTTAGTTCTTCTGTGCTCAAACTGTTGAAGTCAGCCATGCAGTGTGCTGGTGTCCTTGTTTACTACTTCCTCTCATTGCATTTGAAATTCACACATATGTATTTTATATAGTGTTTCAAATATTCAGCTTTCTCCTGCTATTGTCAGACAGGGAATTATGTAGCTGTTTATCTGATTTTGTCTTTATTTTCCCCCTGATGCTTTCAGTTGCGTTTGCTCTAAAATCCTATAACCATCAGATTTTTATTGCGTTTTCTAATATGTCTCCCTATTTTTGTATATAGAGAAATGACCCCAGAAAATGTTGATTCAACATTTTAGGCAATAAATACTTATTTCTGATTTATGCTGATAATTATGATGCTTTAGTACAATTAGCAAGTGTTAGCCGGTTCCACCTAGACATTATATGTGTTTGTAAATTGTAAATGTGTGGTAAGGAAACATCCCTGATTTTATGGTGGTGGTGATAGGTTTGGGGTTCGTGGGTTTTTGATGTTGCTGGGGGGAGTATGGGGCGCTTTGTCCCGGGGCAGGAGGGGAAAGCGCAGGCTGCCCCTCGGAGAGGACCCACGGTGTCTCTGCCACAGTCAGCTTGCCCTGCCTCTTCCCCTTTCCGACTTCAGCTCTGTGGCAGCTGCATACCAGCCTACCTCAGTTCCTCAGTACTTACGCTTTGTCTCTCCATACTACCTGCTTCCTCCGCCTTCCAAGGAAGCCCGTTTTCTGACTTAATTATTTTTGTTTCTAAAATGAGCATCGCACAAATCAACATAAGAATGTTTCTCTCTCATTCCACAGTCTGTGTGCATGTGCGTGTGCCCTGAGATGGTCATTGACTCCTCTGTTCCACAGTGCTGTTCTTTGGGGTAGGGCCCCCTCTTTCCACATTCAAAATATTTTTATCTCCAATGTGGTGCTGTTATAAAAATGATTGGCGCAACTAGTGAATTTACCTGTATATGAAATTCTCTAGGTTTTTTTTTTTTTTTTCTCCCAGGGAAGGACCCAAAGACCAGAGCCTACCTTTGATTGCACAGGTTGCAGCTTGGGCCAGGGTGTCCTGACAGGGTCTAGCGACCGCTCAGAAATGGACAGACCCATGCCTAGGCCCTCCCTTTGCACCTTTCTTAGTGAGCCAGCCCAGAACACAATGCAAGTTGCACCTGCCGGGAGGTTTCTCCCGCATAAGGCTAATCAGCTCTTCCCATTTATCTACCGGACTATGTCCAAAAGCATTCATTCCGTTCCTGCCCTGTTTGGTACTTAATATTAAATAGGGCCTGGCTTGATGGCCTAGCAGCTAAAAGTCCTCTCCTGGAATGTGCAAGATCCCATACAGCACCAGTTCTAATCCCGGCAGCCCCGCTTCCCATCCAGCTCCCTGCTTGTGGCCTGGGAAAGCAGGCGTGGATGGCCCAGAGCCTCGGGACCTGGCACCCGCATGGGCAAACCAGAAGAAGCCCTGGGTTCCTGGCTTTGGATCGGCTCAGCTCCAGCCATTGCAGCCTCTTGGGGATTGAACCGTCGGACAGAAAATCTTCCCTGTTTCTCCTCCTCTCTGTTTATCCATCTTTCCAATAAGAATAAATAAATCTTTAAAAAGTATATTAAATAAATTATAATTCTGATATAGGCAGTGGTATAAATGACCAAACCTCTAATTTGATAACTTTTTCACATCTGTTGAGAATAGTGCAATATATTATCCAAAGGACATCATAATGACTGAAACAACAATTTTTCAAAGTTTGAAATAGATCCCTTTTTTCCTCATAATATATACAAGGGAGCATCTTAACTTTTAAAGAAAGTCTGGCCCAAACCTGTTTCCATCCAGGAAACAAGTCCACGGGGATGAAGGCGACCAGGCAGCTACCTGTCTTCCAACTCACATTGGACATCGGGCCTTTCAGACTTTTCCAGGCTGGCTGATGTAGAATCGCATTCAGGCAACTAGACACAGCATTTCACCTATCAAATGAGAAGACTGTCTCAGTAGTAACTTGAGGTTTTAGGTGATACTTTACCTGTAAACATGATTTTAATAGTTGCCAGTGTTATAAATACATGACAAAAAATTTCAATGTTAAAACATAACAAATTGACGTTTGCAGTCACGTAAGCATTCTATGTCATGGAAGCTTTTGTCTCACTAAATTCCTCACCATCCATCATGACCCAGCTTCCATTTTTTTCATATTTTTTTCTTTCCTGTCATAGTGTGAAGTCACCAGAATTTTCTTCTGAGGGAAACCAGAATTTCAGCAAACTAAATGGAGGAAGGCCGTTAGACCGTGAGAGGTGGCGTCTCTCATTAAATGAGCATTTGACTCGCGACCATTACAGAACATTGTGTTGTCCTTCCCTCCCTGCTCAGTGAGTCCAGTGAAGAGCCCGACTTGGGCTGACGCAGGATGCCAACGGGCCCGAGGGGAGCTGGCATTGGCTGCAGATGCCAGGTTTAGGGATTGGGATCTCCTCTCCACAGGCAGGTTTTCTGCTCCCCTTCCCAGGCGGGGGTTATGGAGACCCCACAGTGCAGTGACATCAGGAAATCACGTCAGCTGCAGACTATGGAATGCTAACAGGACTTTGTATGCTTGTTTATTCTTCTCAGCATTCTTAATCAAGTCACCTAAAGGTAAGAGAGGAGCCTATCCATGTTTGCTAAATGAAGTTAAAATTTAATACAAATTGTTTTCCAAGCAATAGGAATCCTGGGGTAGTGAGGCAATTTATTAAAGTAACCAGCTCATCTTAAAAGAGAATAGCCCTACAACATCAAAATTACTGGTTTTTTAACCCACATTTGTCTTGTTGTCTTCTTGTCTTCAGTGAATCATTTCTTGCATTGGCGGTTAAAGCCATATTTACCATCATAATCCAGCCACCTAAGCTGCTTTTGCTCTGAAACCAATGACAGAAAATGGTTTCATTTTTCTTTTTATTATTATTATTTAAGATTTTTATTTGAAAGAGCCACAGAGAGGAGAGACAGATCTTCCATCCACTGGTTCATTCCTCAAATGGCCTCAAAGACTAGAGCTGAGCCAGTCCAAAGCCAAGAGCCAGAAGCTTCCTCCAGGTCTCCCACATGGGTGTAAGTGCCCAAGGACTTTAGCCCTAGGCAGGGAGCTAGTTGCAGGTGGAGCAGCCAGGACACGAACCGGCAACTATAGGGGACACCATCACCACAGGCAGGAGCTTAACACATCATGCCATGGCACCCCACCCCCAGGCTGATTCATTTCTAATGTATCCTGTAACTTGGTACTAATAAAGAAGGCAAGAAGATAAGATACAAGCATATCAAATGCACATACAACAAAGAGCCACAAGAGTTGTGGCAATACAAGTCTCTTTCAGATTAGCAACCTAGAAGGAGTAATACACTTCTTATTATCACATTGTCACTGTGTTAAGCATTTCTGGAATTTCCTCTTTGTTGTTGCCTTAATCCACTTAGAAATCACACAATCACTGGTACAAAGGCTCAGTGGCTAAATTCTCTCCTTGCAAGCACCAGGATCACACATGGGCACGGTTCGTGTCCCAGCGGCCCCACTTCCCATCGAGCTCCCTGCTTGTGGCCTGGGAAAGCAATGGAGGACAGCCCAAAGCCTTGGGACCTGCACCCGTGTGGAAGACCTGGAAGAATCTCCTGGCTCCTGGCTTTGGATTGGCTCAGCGCTGGCCATTGTGGCCACTTGGAGAGTGAATTAGTGGGTAGAAGATCTTTCTGTATCTTCTCTGTAAATCTGACATTTCAATAAAAATAAAATCTTGAAAAAAGAAGAAGAAAAGAAATCACACAAGCAGTCTTCTGGCTTTATAATCCTATCCTTGTTGACACTGGAAAAAAAAATAGCATTGCCCCACTAGCTCTCCCACTTTATAAACCAGTTTTGGCTCCTCTAGCTCTAGACTCTTGAAAGTGACTGGCTTTCCCACTGCACGGTGGCAGCTGTCTTGCCCTGACAAGAACATGCTGGAGGGACAGAAGCAGGAGCGCTGTGTTAGAACATCTGCTCCTTCAGGGTGACACTGACGGAGATGACACAATCCTCAGTTCTCTAGTGAGCACAGATTCTGCAGAAACCCATCGCTTAGTTCTCCTTCCCTAATCTCCACTCATTCCAATTCAAGGGCAAATTGTACAGGTTCATTTCTCAGAAATGCACCAAGAGCTCACAGAGTCCTTTTCAGCTAGAAAATACCCGCTGGCCATTTCCCTGGGCTGGGATGTACAGCCATGGTTGGTGGTTGTGGTCCTTAGCCTTCACCCCTCTAAGTCCAATAACTGAACCTGTGGCACTCAGACACCTGAGAGAACTTCACATCTGAACCCAGAGAGAAGCTATCAAATCCTGCTGTGCGCTGGGAGCAGGAACCAGGAGGGATGGAACTCAGCCCTGCAAGAGAATACCAAGTCCTGGATCCCGTCCACAACAGAGGGTCAGTCCACTCCACTCCCTGCCCTGGAGCATTTTCGTCCTTTCAGTAATGGGACAGGAGGTACAACAACTTCCGGCACTGTCTTCAGACGGGTGTGCACTGGGAGCAAAGGTGCCTGTCTCAGATGGACACAGGACAGGATATGATCCGGTCTTCTAACATCACACTGATGATGAGGAACACAAAGTAGAGGAGGAACATGGTGAAGCCCAGGATCTTATTCATCCTCCACTTGCAGGATGCAATGGACGAGATCACAAACAGCAGCATGAGGAAAAGCAAAACAATGGCGCAGAACAGGCCGTTGCTGCTCACCGGCACAGGCAGCAGCCCATTGATGAGAGAGAAAAGCAGCCACGGAACAGGCAAGCTGCAAGAGTGAAGAAACACCGTGAATGGTCTTCACCCGAGAGACATAACTGG